CAAAAGATATACCTTATTGGTAAATATGTTACTATCAAAGAAAAATTAGAGAAATTTCGAGGGCAATGTTCCTTTTGTCAATATATACCCAGCAACCCATCAAAGTATGGAATCAAAATATTTGCCTTAGTAGATTCAAGAACTTTCTGCAGCTATAACATGGAGATATATGCAAAGACAACAGTCGGAAAGTCCCTTTAGAGTTGAAAGTTCTTCATTTGAAATTACAAAACGCCTGTGCACCCCTTTCTTCGGGCAGAAATGTAACAATGGATAATTGGTATACGAGTTATCCTCTAGCAAAAGAACTTTTGTCAAAGAAGTTAACTATTGTAGGAACCCTGAACAGAAACAAGGCTGAAATTCCCACCAAGTTCATCCAAACAAAAACTAGGAACGGTTATTTATCTATATTTGGGTTCTAAAAGAACTCGACAATAGTATCGTATGTGCCTAAAAAATCAAATGTGTAGTTTTGTTATCTACAATGCATTGCAATGATGCCATTGATAAAAGTGATGATATGAAGAAACCAGAAATAATTTACTTTCATAATGCAACAAAAGGTGGTGTAGATAAAGTTGATGAAATGTTATCGTTATATTCGACATCTCGAAAAACCAACAGATGGCCGATGGTCGTCTTTTACTGTGTTGAATGTCACTGCAATAAATACCCGAGTTGCTTTATTCCCAACAAAGACTTGTCCCTTACAATATGGAAATAGTAGAAAATTCCTAAAAAATTTGGCTATATCTCTTATACAGCGCCATCACATAGAGATAACAAAAAATAATGTCAATGCTTCCTAAAGTGGTTCGTGAAGCATCAATAATGCGACTTCTAGTGTATCAGAAGAACACGCCCATCAAAGAAACCAAAAGCTCGACAAAGGCCGACGTGCTACTGTGTGCCCAAAGATCCAAAGACAATAAAACTACAATTTCTTGCAAAATATGTGATAATTTTCTCATGTAAAATTCATTCTTCCTACCTGTTTGAAAGAAGTGTATGTTAGTTTCTGACTCCTGATTAGGTATATACTTTATTTGAATGGGATTTTTTTTCTTAAATATTGAAATAAGTTTTTTAAGTAAAGAAGTATAGTTTCTAAATGAAATATTGCAATTATTGTTTATAATCAAATGATTTCTATAAAATATATAACACATTTTCCTAATGAAACTGATTAGGGTGACGCTGTCACCCCGTGCGATCTCCAACGTCAGTGTTGGGAGCGCGCCTTCTGCCGGGTTAACCAGTTGTTTATAATTTTAGTCTTTACTATAACTTTTGCTGTCTCTTTCCTCACCAGAATGCAAATCAGTTAAATAGTATTTAAACTGAAGTTTTGGATTGTAGAGTGTGTTTCTGCTCACATGCTGCATTAGTTTATTCTAGATCTGATAATTTGTAATTATTCATCTTTGCGTTGGACTTAGACATTTGAATTTTTTACAATGGTAGAGTTACTGAGTCAGCAAAATTAAATTGTGTAGTCTTTGACTACTAGTCTACATTTTTAGTTTGAATTTGACTGTTCCTGTTTAGTTACATCATCACAAGTTGTAGTTGATTTTATTAACACAAGAGAGTTCTTTTATGGTCTAGGTTCTGATTAAATAAGAAGATTTATTTAAACCTTTATCTGACTTTATAGTTACTTGCAGATATGGCAATAATTTGCTTTATGTCTGTCAGGAGTTTTGGACTGTTTAACTTTTACCAGATCAAGTAAAACCTCATAGGTGCATTGTCAAGAGACTGAAAAATTAGGAGATGAAGGAAGTAGAAACCAATGGGAACACTGGTTTATTGAAATAAATTTCTGACTATTAGAAAAGATGCTTAAAGAAACGGAAATTAGCCAATAATGTAAAACTTATTGTTTGCAACTATTGAGACTTAAAATAGTTTCTTCTTAGGATGGTATTACAAAAATGATGTTCAAGCACAGATGCACAGATCTTAGAGGACCGATAGGTCCTTAATTTTTTCATTAATGGCCCTTAAAAGTACTTAATTTCCATGTGCAGAAATGTGTATGAACCCTCTTTATGACAAAAATAATTAACTTTTAAAACTTGCCAACTGTGCCTACATCTGGCTTTCAGGTCTGTTCTGATCAGTAGGTCTCTTTCTAGGCAAGCAGCTGCCAGTCATCTGTTATGCATCTTGCCAATTATGATTTTGCTTCTCATTTTAACCTATGCTGTTGTTTGAAATAAAATGTGTCTGCTGTTTTTTAGACCTCTAGACCAAGCAAGTACATGATAAAATGAGACACAAAAGAAAAAGTCAATATAAAGCTAACTGTTAGTAAAATGTAAATAAAATGCCCCTAAATCTTCTTTTAAATATGTTCAACTGTTTTAAGTATAAAATATTTAATGCTGTTTGATAAATTTTATAGAGCTTATTCTCAAATTTGTTTTATAATTGTGTTTAATAATAAGGCATCTTACTTATGGATCAGTTTTCTTCTGAGGATGGTATTACAAAAATGATGTTCAGGCACAGATGATATCTTTAATTGAATTTATTCAGTTCCCATTATGTGATAGATCCTTAATTTTTTTTTTATTATTATTAATGGTCCTTAAAAGTACTTAATTTCCATGTGCAGAGAATGTGTATGAACCCTCTTTATGACAAAAATAGTAATTTAGCACATTTTGATACTGGGAAATAAAATCTGCACAATTAAGCATCATATTGCAGAAGTTCATTTTTTTTTTAACTTTGAATTTCTTAATGGTACATATACATATATATATTATTTTTTCCATTATTTAAAAAAAAATATTATCATTGGTATGATGAATCCTTATAATAGTTGCACCAGGTGCAAGTCTCTTCTTTGAGACTTTGTCTAGTTTCAACTTTTCTTTTCTTTTCTTTTTTTTTTTTTTTTTTTTTTTTTTTTTTTTTTTTTTTTTTGAATAAATCTTACATTATTTGGTTAAATCCCACTTCTTTGGCAGAGGAAGTATGAATGGAGAACAGTTTGCATTTCTTTGTAATATATCTTCTTCATTTGCTGATATATTCTAGGACTTAAAATTTGTGAAACTGATGATGATAATGTATATTTGTAAAACATGATTTAAATATAACATATATAAATACATTGAAGTTTAATTGATAAATGAGGCACAGTAAGATAATGCCAATATTAAACAAAGTATAAAATATCTTTTTCATTCTTATGGAAATAAGAAATGTTGAGCACGTTGCGCACACACGCATGACAGTGTAATGATGCTATTGATTCTTTTACACACAAATGATGTCATGATATGATTTGTATTAATGAGAAATGCCAAAGCTTATGATTGAAAAAAATTCATATGTGGAGGTTATTAAGTTATATTAGAAGGGAGGAATCTTTAATTTGTTAAATATTGAAGGACGTGGAAAAAAATCCAGTACTGCACATTTGATTGTGCCAAAATAATCATTTTTAAAAGATGTAAAATAAATTCATAATGGGAGAAAAAGTGTGATGCTGTGTTTTACTAATAGAATCAAATATTAGACACATAAAGAAAAATTTGGTAGGGAAGAAAAAGCTGCCATCTATATTTTATTCCTTGAAAATGAGAGTATTATATTTGTTTGAACTAAACAATGAGGGAAGAGATGTGATGCTGTGCTATGCTAGATAAATTAACTATTAGACATATTTGAAAAGAAAATTTGAAGTAGAGAAAAGAAGGTAAAATGTTGCTATATGTATTTTCTTCTTGAAAGCTAAATGCATAATCATTATTTTTGTTCTAACTAACTAAACATAAATGTTTCTTGAGCAAAACGAAAAACTGAAAATGAAATTAAACTGCTGAATCTGTACTTTGAGTATTATTAACTAAGTGTAGAACTTGAATTGAGCTCCTGTGTATACTGGGAAAATGAGTACTAGTAGTTCTAAAATCTAATAGCATTGATTTTTGTGTTTAAAATGAAATAATGCAAGTGGAGCTAATCAAAGTGTGTGTTGAGCATATGGAGAAGATGCATTATCATCTAAGAAAGCATATTTTATAAAGGACATAGTACTTCATAATGAATGAAGATCTGGATAACATATTGCCATTGATGATGATACTTTAAATAGACATAATTGAGACTAATCTACATTTAACACTCCCCCTCTCTAAATAATTCTTTTTCCTTTTCATATTATGTTTATGTGTATATTTTTATGAGACATTTGATTACATGATTATTTTTTTTAAGATGAAGTAGATTTTATTAGACTTTCAATATAAATTTTAAGAATGAGGTATTTACCTCTTGATTAGTGTGGAAACTGTATGTTATTTTGTAGTGATTGAATAAAATAAAAAGGAAAAGAGGTAGGAGACACTCCAGTAGCAACCAGGGTTAGTTAGTTATGCGAAATCACTTCTGATTTAGAGAAATATGAGAACTTGTTCAATGTTAAAGCAGTTTGAATGAGAGCTGTGTAACAGAAAAATCCTAGTGTTTCTTTAATATTTCATATTCATCTCTTTCTGTTCATTAGACAGCTGTATGTATACAGATTAACTTTACTGTTTATTAGATAATTACATACACAACTAGCCATTCATTAATCGCTGAGTTCTTAAAAGAAAATTACTGGCTTTTATCACTTCTAAAAATCAAATAAGTCTATTACTATGGTATTTTTAAGTGTTAGAATGTCAGCTGTTGTAGGGGAAGCTAATTTGACAAATATTTATTTTATTGCAAGATATCTGTATTATCTGTTCATACAAATATGACCTCATATTTAAAATATGAATTCATGATGCAACAAATGTATACTCTTTCTATGTATATTTTTCCTATTAGAACTTTAGATTGTTTTTATAGAGAGAAAATTCTTTTTAAGATGTCAAGCAGTAAAATTCTATTCTATTGCTATCGAAATTTATGTGAAAAAATTTATTGCATTTTCTGATGCTTTATTTTTTATAGTAGTTAGTTTTGTTCACTATGTTTTTATCTTTCAGTGATACCAGTGTAGGTTCTCATTTTAGTAGCATACTTAAAGAATTGTCTCAGACTTCTGCCACAGGCTGCATAGGCTGTATTACTCAAAGGAATACTATAAGTCCTATAAGTACACCAGGAACTCCTGGTACACCTGCTACTCCAGGGACACCAAAGAAGGTTAGAAACTGTAATTATTATTTTAAATATGGAAAGTAAAACTCATTTTTGCTAGCAATATTTTAACTTCATCTTTCCCTGATTTAAGATTTATATTTTTTTTTTAATATTTTTATAAGTTTATTATAGTAAAAATGCATTAAAGTTTATACTACTTGTAGAAATTCAGTTGGTAATGCATAACCTGTGCTTTATCTAATGTAAAGTAGTGTATAAGATAATATCTAATTTTTGTTGGTTGGAATTTAAAAAATCAAATTTTAAATGAAGGGAAAATAATTTGTCATACAGATTATATAGCATGAAGTGCTAAAAACCATATCTTATAAAGGAAAATGTGTTACTTTAAGTATTACTGATTAAATATTGCCCAAACTTTCTCAGAACATCAGATGTATGTTGTTTATGTCTGGGAATTGCTGGTCTTTTTAGTTTTTTTAAAACATGATCTTTTAAATAATTGCATAAAAATTACAGTAAAATATTTCAGTGTAGAAACTCCATTAAAATTTTCGTCATGTCATGTGTATGTCTGCTAGACTTCTCCTTTCAATTTGTGAAATCAAAAGAGATTTTAATTTGGCCAAGTGAAAACATGTTGCTAAAATTAATTTTTTATTACTTGTGTAAAAAAAAAGTTATTATTTTGAAATTTATTTGCACATTCATTCATTATTTATTTTTAACCACTGCTTATATTAATTAAAAATTTTTTTGGTTATATGCTTATCAAATCTAACAAAAGAATTGCTTCAGATTATGAAACTGACCTTAAGGAAAAAAAAAAAAAATGCTTTCACTTTAGAAATACTTGTAAATCTTTTTTTTTTTTTTTTTTTTAAATATAGATGTCATCTATCAAGTCATGAAATTTCATTCATGATTGCTGTATGATGTATGGAATTTAACTGTTATAGCTGTGAAAGATATATTTTCAGTCTTCATTTCAGCTAAATTAACTTGCTTTTAAATTCATTTTAAATTAAAGGTTAATATTTATTCTGATCAATACTATTATATAATTAGGGAGAAAGCAAGAAAATAAATCATTCATTGATTAAATAATAAATTTTAAAATTAAAATTCTTTTCCTTCATTTCTACACTTGTAATAATCAAAATATATTCTTTCTGACTATTTCCCCACAAAAAATCCAGTTAAAAAACATGAAAAAAAAAAGACTTTAAGTAAATTCATTAAACTTTATATATATGTGCACATATAGCGATATTAATCTTTTAGAGGCATTAGGTATTTTGGAAGCAGGAAAAATGAGCAAACGCCTTTGTCGGGAATCGAACCACAGACCTCTGGAATACCGGCCCAGCATGCAGAACCACTACACCACAAAGGCACACTAAGAAAGCGGGAAAAATACCTTATATACTCTCCTTTTTAAAGAGCAACTGGGGTTTTCAGGGGACCCAATCGCGAATCCTGGAGAATCCTCATCCAACACCCTTTTAGTTTGGGTGCCATTAGGTATTTTTAGAAGCCAGCAACATGAAAAATAACAACAACGCCGGACCTCTGGAATACGTGCCCAGCGTGCAGATCACCACACCAGGAAGGCGAGAGAAATACCTTATAATCTTATTGAATCATTTCTAAATGACATTATAAAGTTTTAATTTTTCCTGTAGTACAGTTGTTTGTTATAATATTAAAAAAGTAGATTTTGTTGTATTTATATGGATAAAGGCAAAAATCATATTCAATCATATTTTCTTATGTGAATCAGAAAATAATAATAAATTATAATTACATCTAAGAACTTATTTAAATTTATGTAATATTTTAAATTTTTTTCTTCTTGAATAAAAAAAAATATTTGTTTACTTGCATAATTTGTTTACTTGCAAATAAAATTTTATTTGCATGGCTTTATCCATTAGACAGTGTTTTAAACTGCATATTGAAAAACATCTCAAGTTAATAACTTATTCATATCTTTTCCTCCACATTCAGGAGTTAAACTATTTCTATTTCTCATATTAAAATTTTATCTTATTTAAGTTCTTAAAGGTAAATTTTAATTTCCATTTCCAGGAAGCAAATTGCATCACATCAGCAAAAACTGTCACCCAAATTGGAACTCAGACTAGCCCAGATAGTGTTAAAAGCCATTTTAGTATTGGATCTGCAGGAAGCAAAGACGAATCAACAAAAGTGTCTCCTAAACTAGCAAGGAAAGATAGATCTTCTCGCCAGTTTCGTTCAAAGCGTGAGCGAGTCAAATCTCCTGGACCCATGCAGGTCAATGAAAAATCTAAAGAAAAGAGTGCCTTAAAAGAAGCTGTTAAAGAAGCTATGACACCAAGTGTTGCAGAATGTCTGCGAGCAGTTTTTGCTGCTTTTCTGTGGCATGAGGGCATTGTTCATGATGCAATGGCTTGTGCATCTTTCCTTAAATTCAATCCAACACTTCCTAAACAAATAACTAGTGTGCCACATGTAGCAGTTCGAGAAAAGCGGGATACCTCTCCTCTGACTAGAGAACAAAAGGCCAGGTATCGCCATTCAGTGGAAGTAGCTAGTCCAAGTTTATTGACATTTCAGTATTTTGAATCTTTTTCTCCTGCTCCATTTAATGCTAATATTAATAAAAATAAACTTCGAAAAACGTCAGTGCCAATTAAGGAGGATAGTGTTATTGAAGCTTCTAAACATGTACAAGGTTTGAATGACAAAAATGATAGTATTAGTTCTTCCAATTCAGTTCAAGATAGAAAAATAAGTACTAATGAAAAATATCAATTACCACAATCCCTTCAGCATTTAGTTATTTTATGGGAACAAATTTCATCATCGAGCCTCAGAATCGTTTCTCAACAGCTCATTTTGCCTAGTCCAGTTACAGGTTCCAAAGTATTCCAGAAATTAGAAAAAGAAAGGAATAATAGAGAGAAGGAAAAGAAAGTGAAAAAGAAAAAGGACTATCGTCCAGTTATGTCAGGCAGAGGTAATTTATTTGCTGAAGCTGCTGGTGGACCTTTTGGAGCTGAAAGAGAAAGTATGTGTGAATTATGTGGTAATTTTTTTCCTCATCCTGTCACATACCATATGCGACAAGCTCATCCAGGATGTGGAGATCATGCCGGAGGAAAAGGCTATAATAGTTGTGGTAATTTTTGTGGTGGTTGGGCAGGTAATTGTGGTGATGGTGGAATTGGTGGAAGTAGCTGGTATTTAATTTGTGATCGTTGTCGAGAAAAATTTATTCGACAAAAAAGACAAAGTCTAATAAAAGAAAAAGTAAAAAAATCGCGAAAAAAGACGTCTCCTACTAAATTGCTTTCACCATTGCCTCCCATGGAAGCTCACCAAATAATGAAGAATAATGCCATGTTCTTATTAGAATTATCATCATCTGCATCATCGGGTATACCCACTACTGCTGCAACACCTTCCAGATTAAGTCTTTATAACAGTATGCCAAGTGTACATGAGCAGAATGCTTTTATAGATACATCTCCTTTCCCTATGATGTCCTTCCAATGTCTTGATGTTTTAGGTGTTCAACAGGAGTACAAAAATATGATAGGAGAAGAATTTCTCTCTGAGGAAGACATACGGGCTTTACAAAATGGTGCTGAAAATCTAGGTCTTGGTACAAGTTTTCTAAACTTATCCTCAGGGATCATGCGTTCATTAACAATGAATGGTGGTGCTGATTTACAGCTTATATGTGCAAAACGAGAACGTCGGCGTTCTAAAGCTAAAGAAGGAGAAAATAAAGCACGCACATTCCATCGTTCAATTTCTGTAGGTCTCACCTCAAGGGACTGGAATAAACAGGAAGGTGAAGCCAGTGTAGGAGAATGTCGTATTATTATGACTAGAAAAAGGAACAACAGCAGTGGTTGTGAAGGTAACTAATTTAAATTTTATATTTAGTGATTTATAATTTGATATTTATTTTATCAAAGCTAAAAGCAATAATATATCATATTTTCCCTTTTGTTGCATTATTTTGTATGTTTTTGTATATGGGAAATAGTTTTATAAAAGTAATTGCTTTTCAAAGCTAGCAAAAATGCTTTTGTAACCATTCTTCTATAAACAAAAGTGCTGGCTAGCTCTAAAAGTATTTATTAACTGAGCATAGGAACAGTTAGAAAGGAAATATATATAAAAACAGAACATACATCAAAATGGAACACCTAATATTTAGAATTAATTTTTGAGTTACAGAGACATAATATTGTAGAATTTATAATCACCACAGTTGGGTGTCGACTAGCTGTAACTAACTCTTGTTGCCTCTAGATGGTGTTTGATAAAATAGTTAATTTATGTCCAAATAGTTCTGTTATGTTTTCCCCCTTTGCTGAAACATGATATTTGCCGAGAATTTTGTCTAGGTCTTTGAGATCATCAATATCAAAAGTCATTAGAGATCTTGTAGTCATTATCACGTAGGGACTGTCTTGCTTAGGCATGAATTTACTAGTTTTCTTTAGTGGGCCTTTGCTGACAGAAGGGAGACAAACCCAGACTTTATCTCCAGGAGTAAATTTCAAAGTTTCTTGTCATTTCTTATTAGCATATTGCTTCTGTTTATCTTGATGTAACTCTACTCTTTCATGTGCCTGTTGTACAGTTCTCACAAAATGTTTCAAATATGGAGTAATTTCTGTAACAAAATTATTATCATTATTACAAAATTGTTGAAACATAATATTGTAGAAACTAGCTTCATCACAGCTAGAGGTCAACTTGCTGTAAGCTGTTCCCATTGCCTTTAGATGGTGTACAATAAAATAGTTCGGTTACATCCAACTAGTTCACAATACAATAAAATAGTTCGGTTACATCCAACTAGTTCTACTATTTTTTTACAAAATTTATTTACAGGGAAATTTCAAATAAATATTTTCAATATCAGCAATGGTACTTGTCTGTTTTTATAAACACATCATGTAAATATCATTCTAGCAATAAGCTTAATTCTCATATTGAGATGGAAATAAAAAATATCTTTGTGTATTATTGTTATTACAGTAAACATCAGTATGCAGTGTATAACTTGAGATGTCTAAAATTGCTTTTTCTGAAATATTAGCTATTTGTTTTGATGAAACTGGTTCCCCCCCCTTCTTTTTGGTTTTCTGATCTTAATGCAATTGTACTAACAAAATATATAATATATTTAGTTACTTTAATATTATAATGATCATCTTGAAATAAAAACAGCATGCAGAAAATGTGTGACATGAAAAAACTGCCAAATAGAAAGCATGTGGAAATAACGAAGCAATAGTGAAACAAAGTAAAATGCTGATAAATTATGTTACATTTATTTCCAGTCTACAGGGTGAATCTGAACAAGTGGGTAAAAGTGTAAGGAAGGATAGAAGGCAGCTTAGCCTTCTAGGATAAAGCAATATAGCAAGGATAAAGCAATATTCTTCATAGAATGTATGGTTGGAATACAAGTGGTATGAAATTAAAGGATTAGCACATGAATGAGAGGAGATACTTCAGAAATATTTTATTTCTATTTTATTAGCAAGAATGGTAACTGATGTACATGCTCAAAGAACTTGCTCAAAAGACATTTTGCCAGCTGTAATGCAAGCTTCACACCTGTAGGATAGGAATTGATGCACATTTGCGAAGACACCAGGCATTTCCTGAATATCAGCAGGAACAACAGCGATCCTAGTGACTTAGATCCATATTGATTTCAACAGGACACTCGTAGATTAGGCTTTTCATATGGCCCCACAGGAAAAAGTCCAAACATGAGAGATCTGATTATCTTGGTGGCCAATTTATAGGACCACCTCCATGAATCCATTGTCCTGCAAATTTTGTGGTTCGTATAACCAACCATCTTCTTGGCAATCCACAGTAGAAAATGCCATTAGATTGTGAGGACCAACTCATTTATAGCATTTACGATGCCACCTAGCGGCTTGTCGTTTATTCCAGCTATACATTCTATGACGAATATTGCTCGTGTAGCTGCCTTCTGTCACCCCTTAAAGTTTTCCTCACTTGTCCAGATTCACCCTGTATATCTTTTTACATATAATTATTTCTTGCCCAATTACAATTTTTGTTTTGGGGCTACTATATATATAGATAGATAGATTTTTATGGCTACTAGTGCCGTACTACTGCATGCAACTTGTTATATATCCAAATGTTTTCAACATTATGTAAATATCTTTTAGACCATAGTACACTTGTAAGCGAATTAACATTCTGTTTAATGTGAATACGACAAAAGTTGTATGCAAGTTTTAAATAACTTTTTCATTTAACTTAAATTGAAACAGATAGCACTACTTTAATAGAAGGCACTACTTGTATGTACAAACAAAACTCGGCCACTTGGGTAGTAAGGTAACATAAAGCTGAATTTACAGTTTATAAGTATTATAGCCAGAGACTACACAAATTTCAGACCAACTAAGTGGCTCAAAACATTAATGGCCCATAGTAAGGTTGGCTAGCAGAGTGGGCAGTGCCATAATATTAACTGGTCAAGCTTAATTATTATTATAGAAATAGAACTGCAAGATCTGGTGCCAAAAGCTGTATGTTAAATATTCCAAATCCTTGCCTTAAATACTTTTCATTCTGATTTGCATCTTGGTGAAGGCAAACAGAGATGTTATAATAAAGATTTAAATCACAATAATTGATTAGTCAACGTAAAATACCTTACAACTTCTCAACAAGTTGAAAATTGATTACGTATTTTATATTTGAAAGATTGATCAATAAGCACTTTCAGTTTGTTCACAGTATGTAAAATCTGTAGTTTGTAACTTGTCTGCACACGGTATTAAGTAAGGTTGGCTGAAGTTTTTAATCATTGTCAAGCACAATGTTCGCACAAGTTTACCATGTGCTGTTTGGTATATTTGGTACCAACTGCTGTTTGGAATTCGTTACTAATACACTACAAAGTCTTTAATCCAGACGCCCATAATCCGGAATGGTCTATAATCCGGACCTCAAAGCTACAAACTTTCTGCGCATGCGTAGCTTTTACGCATGTGCATAATACGTTTATGCATGTGCATGATACATTTATGCATGCACATTTAATGTATAATGAATGGTATAAGCTAGGCTAAAATTATCTAATTATCTATTTCAGTTAATATTGCAGATTGCATTGTTCCTTAATCTTCTAATTGGATTCAGCTTATTATTTTTTGCAGACTGTTAGAGCAATTTTATAAAAAGTAGGCTTGAACTTTCGAAGCCAAAAAGAGTTTCCGATTCTGGAGCTGCCAAATGATCTACAAAGCGAAAGCATATTTTGATGCCCATCAAATAAAAAGTGGAATTTCTGCAAAAAATGGATAAAGGCATGAAGAAAGTGACAGAGAGGTTAGTGAAAACAGAAAAATTTCGATTGACAAGTTAGTTGGTATTCTCGGCACAGCAATTACAGGACTTGAACAGCGGAAATTTGTAACTGAACAAAAAATTATGTCTGTGTATAGAATTAAAGAGAAAGTACTAGCACATAAAACGAAGGAACTTAAACAACTTGCATTGAAAGAAATGTTTAATAAAGTAAACAAATAAATATTAAGTTTTTTTTTATTTTTATAGCCTTTAGATTATAATTGCTCTTTATTTCATAAATTACGGTTTCATATTTTTAATATTATAATTTCTGAATGCCATCTTACCAGATTTAAATTGATGATCTATAATCCGGAATCGCCGAAGTCCCGACGAGTCCGGATTAAAGACTTTGTACTGTATTTAAAACATTTTTTTTTTTTTTTTTTTTTTTTTTTTTAAGTTTGAAAATAGTCATTTCTAAAGCTGCCGTGAGCTGATAGTTGTTGTTGGTGAATGCCCCCCCCACCCCAAAAAAAATATTTGTCAGTTTTCTGTTAAGTATATAATTTATTCAGTAGGTGTAAAACCAACAATTGATAGAATGTTTCCATTTGAAATAAATGCTGCTCAAAAAGATGGCTACAGAGTCAAATTAATAATCATACTTCTAATGGTTTCTTCTAACTTTATACTAATAAATGACTGTTTAATTTAGAAATCAAACAACGAAAATCAGCATTATATTTTTTCACAGGACTAGTTTTGATGGTTTTACCGAGCCATCACCCTCAGCTGCAAAAGTGCAAATGAACAAGATAGGACATAATGATTAGATAAGATAAGATAAGAAAGCCTGGACAGGAGATAAGCTACTGGCGCCATCTCTTGATGAAGCCAGAACTAAAATGTTATTTCTTTAAAAGCTGAAGGCAAAGATGGATTGGAATTAGAGTCATTAACTAGAACAAAAAGATTTTTGTGAATGTGAAATGTCTTTAGAAAATCCAGTTCACCAATGGAAGATGTTTTTTGAATAATTTTGGCAACAGAAAAATTGAGAGTGTAATTTTCGGCCCAACAATGTTGGGCACAGGTAGAGCTGGATTTTCTAGAGGCATCTAACAGTCAAAAAAAAATCTTTCTGTTCTAGTTAACAACCCTAATTCCAATCCATTTTTGCCTTCAGCCTTTAAAGAAATTATGTTTTAGTTCTCGCTTCATCAACAGATGGCGCCAGTCGCTTATCTCCTATCCAAGCTTTCTTATCTTATCTTATCTTATCTAATCATTATATCCTATCTTGTTCATTTGCGCTTTTGCAGTTTAGGATGATGGTTCGGTAAAACCATCGAAACTAGTCCTGTGAAAATTTGAAAATATAACGCTGATTTTTGTTGTTTGACTTCTAAAATAATATTTGTTCAGCATGTTATTGTATCTTAAATCAGTGCTCCGCAACCTTTTCTCACCTGCGACGCACAAAAATCTTTTTGGAATTTCGTGGCACACCAAAGAGTTCCGCGTTATCAAGGAAGTGCCGAAAAAATTCAAATGCTGACACACTTACAATCACACACACAACAGTGAATATATAAAAACATTTAAAATAGACATATTAAGGGGAAAAAAAATTGTCATTGTGTATTAAATACGTGATAAAAAATTGCAAAATGTCAAATACATGTATTTGATTGCGGCACACCTATATCCTACTTATGGCACACCAGTGTGCCGCGGCACACCGGTTGCAGAGCACTGTCTTAAATGACTGTTTCTTCATCAAGGAGGTGTTTTATTTAGTGATGAACTGAAATTAAGAATCAATACCCAGCTTAATTGTGAAAAACGTATGTTGTACATACGTAAAGCACTAAGCGTATGCTAAAGTTATATGCTACCAACAGAATCTCATTCTTTATCCTTTTTTGCAAAAAAATTCTCAATAAATAAATAAATGAAATAAAACAAAATACATATACATACATATGTACACATACACATACATACTCAGTACAAAGTTTAAAATTTAGACAGTGTTGCCTGTCTAAATTTTGAACTTTGTACTGTGTGTGTATGTATATGTGTGTTTTATATATATTATATATGTGTATGAGGGTAAGATAAAAATGTGTAAATCAAAGTAAGATAAAAATATGTAAATCAAAATTATAATTTAAAAACTGCTCATTTTTAATCTGTGTACTTTTTCTTTGGTAATAGCTTTATGGAAACTGCATCATATCTGAAAACTAATATTCTGCAGTCATCTTAAATTTCTGCATTGCCTGTAAGTTTTAGCCAATCTGATTAACGATAAATTTTATTATAAATACCATTGCAATCCAAGCTGAAACCTTTCTAACGTAAACCAAAACCTTTCTCTTAACAGATTGCCATATTGAATAAATGCTTCCTTATAGCTTCAGCTGTTTGGATGCCACTGTGCTTTCTTTCTATCGCAATAGTTCTTTAAAAATATAAATGTTCTTGAATAGGCACGATTATAGAGTCAAATGAATTGTGGCCAGAAATGTGAATTTAAATAAAAATGGTATTTAATCCGTCTTGACTTTTTCCTCTTTAACCTGGGTTGACACTTTAAGTATCAACTATCTACACCAAACAACACTGCTGCACTTCTACATATCAGTGTTCTTACATCAGTACTTCTAAAATTTGCTTTCATTGCATATACATGTAAAAGATGGTAGCTAGATATAGCTGCATTTTAAAATAGGTTATTTTAAAAGAATGATGTGTTAGTAGATTGATATTTTATTGACAGTTTAAAACGGTTAAATATAATAATAGTAAAATTAAAGCTGTGTTTCTGAAGACTGCATGGAAAAAAATCATCTGTGCAAGAGTAATAAATTTCTTTTTCACCCTAAAAAGCTCATATTATAGCTCATAGAAGCTACAGAGGGTGTTTACACATTTTTAGAAGGATTTCATTAAAGAATTAAAAAAAAAAAAAAGCAAATGTTTTGGAAGAAAAATTTCTGGCAAGAGCTTATTATTTGAAATGAGAAATATCATCTGCTGTTTTTAAATTTATTCTTCTGTCAAAATATCGCATATGAACAAGCTATGGACTGAAGGATATGTTTTCTTTTTGAAGAGAAATATTCCTATTCCATAATTAGAATGTTGTGAAATGCATGGTATTAAGATTAAAGGACACTATTTATCGAAAAAGAAAAAAAAAAACTGTCAATCGTTAGTGTTACCTCCAATTAGCAGAAAAAGTTGCAGGATGTTTCTGAAATGAAATAGTTTCTAAATCATTAAATTAAATCACTTCTAACAAGAGAAAGTTCACCAACATAGAAATCAATTTCAAAGACTTTAAATACATCTGTTGCAACATTAAATAAAATAATAAATCAATATTTACAATTTAAAAAAGCTAAAAAGCATAATGTTCATAAGCTTTTGCTTAGGCATGTGGTTCAACACAGAGAATTTTTAGAACCCTGTGTGTAAACAAACTATTTAGCATTTGATAAATGGAAATACATTGTGACCTTTGATAAAGCAGGGGTTTACCTGAATGACTGCAATGATAAAAGTCTACTTGTCATTGAAAACGAAGAGAAGAAATGTACAAAAGTGGTTCTGCCAAAGCAAAGAATGTTTCTGTAAAGGATTTATGATTTTCATTGGATTCTGTTACAGAGGAAAATTTAAAATAAGAAGATTTGAAAAAAAAAAAAAAAATGTTAGAATCAACTCCACATACTATCAAGAGAAACTTTTACGGGCATTATTTACGGAAGAAATTCCTTTTTTATTTAATCCTAATGACTTTCAAAAAGTGAAATTTTATTAAGACAAAGTAACAAGTCGATCTTTGAAAAGTACCACTGCATTACGAAAAAAGGAAAACTGATATAGGTGTTGCACATATATATTTTCAATGTATTCCTACAATACACCTGAAGTTTCACCCATAGACTATTGCACCTTTAATCTCTTGAAAAGAGCTCTTTCTAATCACAAACCCACCACGATTGATGAATTCTGGAAAGTAGTGAAAGTAGAATGAAAATCAATACCCCTCGAAATTTTACGAAAAGTCCTTTTATTACGGAAATCAAGATGTGGACTTACATCCCAGAAAAAAGGCTATTCGATCAAACATTTAAAAAAGTATGCTTTGTATATTAAGCATTAATTAAATGGCTTCAAAATTATCCTGAAAGTGTGTAAACATCCTTTGCAACAGTTATGAAAGCAGAATCATTTGTAAACCTGCTCTGATATTTAGATAATGTTTAGCAGCAAAAGGAGCTTTTAAAATTGTGCATTGAAGACAGGCTGTTTCTATTAAACTAAGAGAATGTTTATCTAAGATTCTGTCAATAGCTAGCATATTTCCTTATGTAGACTGCTTGTGGAATGTGTTAGTTCTAAACATTTATGTAGATTGAACTAATCCTATACTATTATCTTGGAATTTTAGTTTAAAACTTACCGGCAGTTATTTTTATCAAGGTTACCTAATTATGACATTCACATTTCTAGTTCTTGTAGAATTGGTTACAAATAGGAAGGAATAATTTCTGCTACAAGTTAGCAAAATGGCTATGTGTACAAATGGATAGCATGGAAATTAAATATATATATGCAAAATTTAATTATTAGAAAAATCATTTGAAATTTATATGTAAATATTTAAAATCGGAATGATTTTTATGGTATATTGGTGTTGAAACTGTATTTTGTATTGAGTCACTATAAACGGCACATCACTTTTTAAATTGTTGCCACAAAATATTATCATCCTGTATTATATTTAAAGAAATTAAATAATGAATAATGTGTATGAACGTATTTCTCGCATTGTGAAAAACAGTGGTATGTAAAAACATCAAATTTTAAATAACGTAATTCTCCACCAAAACAGGGGCACGGAAGGCTGAATTTCGAATTTGTTTTATTATCTATTTCATGTTTTTTAAAACTCTAATGAATTTTTGATTAGCAAACTCAATAATTTGAAAGCAAGCAGTGGCAACACTGTACGGGAAAATAAAAGCATTTTTTTCCAGGACTGTCTATCAGAAATTTTAAAGATATGCTGTTTTTAAACATTTTGTGATTTTACTGTTGAATCAAATTTTATATGATGTAACCTCCAAGAATGTGATGTTTAATAGATGAAGTAAATGCACAAAACATTATTAATAAAAAGACAGAAAAAAGTTTTGTAAAACCATCTTTGTAAGAAAACTAAATATTGATATGACAAACTGAAAAAAAGACTGGGGGGGAGAAAAATATATGCCAGCACTTTAACGCCACATCAGGAATTCTAAATGTATACTGCTGTGAAGCTTTTAAAATTTTTGTAATTTTTCTGTTGAATTGTATATGGCATAAGTGTGAAGAAAATGATGCTTAATAATAAAGTTAAGAAGACAAAAAAGGGGAGCTTAATAGGAGTGAATGTAAAGCAGTTTGGTAGACTGCAAGTTCAGCAAGAGCTTATAAAAAATCGTAACAAACCCTTTTGGGTGACCATTAAAATATAAAGCCCTTTCTTTAATTTTTTATTTTAATAATGCATCATTTATAGTTAAATTTATTTTGGGAAGCAATATATGTTTTCTGTTAATCAGTTTGAGAGTGTGAATTGTACATACAATTATGTGTGAAACTTTTGAACCTATTGACATTGCAAAAACAAAAGAAATATTGAATGTGAATTTAAGAATTGGACATTTCCAATATCAGATCTGACTTTAAAATATTTAAATAAATATTTAAGTATAGGAATCATTTTTAGTAGTATTTTTCTGCATATTTGTTAACCAAGAATATTTTTCAGATACTAGCACTTCATTTCTCTGCCAGCCTTCAGCTGCTCTTACAAAACTAGTATCTTTGATGATGGAAAGACCAGGGTCTGAATTTCTCCTACGTAGGCCCGTAATGGTATTTATTTTACAGCGGCATGACTTGGAAAGTTTGCAGTTGGCTATGAAACAAGCTTTAAGAAAAGCAGCATGTAGAGTTTATGCATTACAGGTGAAAATTATTATTTTTTTAATTTAGTATTCATTCAAGATAAAATGTGTAATCTGTAGTATAATATTAGCAGCATGGTTTATTTTAATTTTTTGAGGGGAATACATTGATATCTGTAGCATTTTTTATAAACAATGCCTAATTTATCAATGGAATTTTAGTGATTTTTTATTTGTTTTTACAATTATTTTGTTTTAGGCTTTAAATTGGTTACTTCGTTGTGTCACTCAGCCAATGTCACTTCATGACCTTCTGTGGTGTTTTGTTGCTGCTTTATCTCCTGCCCCTTTTGACAAAGGAGAAGAAGATGGAGAGGAGGAATCTGAAAAGAAGGAGCATGATGTGGTATGCAAAACTAAAAATAAAATAAAGTAGTGCTTTTCTTTGTTATATAATAATGGATAGTATATATTTTTTGCTCCTGGGGGAGGGAAGGGCACTTGTTTGAATATCTTTAAAATTAATAAGAATTTCATTCAAAATTTGTGCTAAAATGAGAGGTTTTGTGTGTGTGTGTGTGTGTGTGTGTGAGAATGATTTTAAATTTTACGCTGGTATATTTCTCTTCCATCTGGTGTAACAACATATTTGTACAACATTTTATTATTCAACAGTTGATGTCCGTGTGAGACAAACATCATGAAAAAAATCAACCTGAGGCAGAAAATTAGATACCTATGTCTAATTTGATTCCCAGATTTCAAAAGATGTGTATGCAGTTTATTTGTCCCAGTGATGGTGATTCAGTCATTCATTGATTTGCTTGTTTACAATAAGTACTTATTTAGTACATTTTATATTTTATTTTTGAATTTGGAACATTTGTTATTATATAACCAACTTCATTACATCAGTTGTGCAGTATAACTGTTCTGCATAACTGTTCAATAAATCTGTTGTGATTTTGGGTGTTATGGAGAAATCATGATACATTAAGGATATCATAAGCTGAAAATGTGTTGGAGTCTCCTCTTCTTCATTGGCTCAACAACCCAAGGTGGGCCCTGACCTTCTCCAGGTATCTCTGCTTTTGGAAACAGTTTTCCAGTTTTTGACCTTTAGAATATTTTTGTCATTTTCAACACAATCAATCCATCTCACTAGGGGTGAGCCCCAAGGTCCTATGGCTCCCATGGGCTTTGCCTGGAAGATTTTCTTACAAAACTGATCTTCATTCATTCTGGCCAATCCCTATTAGTCTTTGTAGTTTGAAGAATGGGTTGGAACCTGTACCTAAAGGAATGCAATTCAAGAATCATGCACCTTTCTTTCTCTGCCTCTAGTCTATCAAGAGAACTTTCAGATAGCCATGTTTTTATAAGTACATCTATTCTACTAAGATACTGTTACCATACATATACGTGCCTTGCCTGATTTGAAGCTGAATTATTTAGCATGGGAACAGTTCACTATGCAATTGTTTTGATCGAGCAGGTAAAATTATTATGTGAATTTTGTTCCTGAGTGCTGAAACTTGAAATGCTTTTCTCAAAACGGTAGTTTTGCAGATTCTTTCATTTGATGCAGTGTCAATAATTTGTGCATTATAATTTATCATCTTCACTATTAGATGGCAACATTTAAATGCAAATATTTTAAAATAATAAATATATTTGTATTACATATTTTTCAGCATGAAAAAGATCTTGGCGTATGTGAGCATCCACTTTCTGATATAACTGTAGCTGGTGAAGCAACTTACCCACTACCACAGACATTTCATTCTTTCCTACAAACTGTATCAGATTTAATGATGCTCCTTCCTGTCGGTTCTTCTTTGCAACAAATTGCTATGAGATGCTGGTGCTTAAAATTTCATCCTGAAGATCACAGTTTCTTACATCGAAGCCATGTTTTTTCAAACATTAGCAAAATACTTTCAAGGACTGAAGAGGAAGATGATGCTGGAGCTTCAGATGCATATGCTCAGGTAGGTATGATTACTTCCATAGATGAGTAATTTGATAAATGCATTTCAAATAATTTTTATTTTGCTGCTTTTTTCAAAATTGAGATTAATATTCAAAAAAGCAATTACTTTGTACTTCTCTCATTTTCTGTGGAAATACTTTTCCTTCGTACAAATGTTGAAAATTGATAAATCAAAACAGCTCTTGCTCTGAATTTTATGACATCGGAATGGAAGCTTTTTAGCTTATCTAAATTTACTTAAAATATGTTAAGTGCAGAAGTAAGAATATATATGATAGAAAAGCATATTTAGTAATCAGTTTATTTTTCTGTTGGTGGAATTAAAAACTGAGTCTTCTATTTAGTTAACAGGAATAAATCTGACCTTTTATAACTAAATAATAAGTGGAAATTTAATACATCGGTGACCACTAAATTTGCAACATCTTAAAGAAAACAACCAATCAGTGTGAAATTTATATAATAGAGTACAGGTCATGAAAATGATTAATAAGCAGCACATATGCAAATAATTGGCATCTATCAAGCATTTAGAATTATTTTGAAAGAGAGAAAGCATGGATAAAATTCTGAAACGGAAATTATATTTGCACTTTTTGGTTCACTTGGAGTTAGCATATGCTTTGAGTAAAATGTTGGATATACAGAAGTGTGTGCCCAAATTATATCTCATGAAAGTAACAGTATGCCATGACTGCTGATTATTATATCACCAAATTTCTGCTTGTAGTTTTGAAATCTTATCATTATCATATGAATAAGGAATTAAGGAAGCAAGAAGGATGGATGGAGCAACTTGGAAGATTACAATGTCCTTGGTACACTGCCCAAGAGGAGAGTCATCTTATGCAAATGGCCTATACAGGCTGTACAGCCACTCCATGCCCCTCTGGCATAGGAAATACTGTATGTGCACAACAAGAAATATCTGCATTGTATTGTAAGATATTGTCTTGAGAATCATGGAGCATTTGTACAGCAGCTGTTGCTTTGCTTATTAACGTTACAATGCAGATATCTGCAGCTACAGTGTCTTCATCTGCACATGGACACATGAATGGTGTGACATTGTCTTTGCAGATGAATTCCTGTTGTGTGTTCAATGTACAATGGACATATGCGTGTATGTCACCATTGAGGGCAGTGCTGATTGGAATTTTGTTTTGTGCATTATTATATCGGTTCATCAGAAAAGTAGAAATCCAAGGTCTTTGGAATAGGCTCTGGCAACCGTTATTCCATGTATTATGGATACGACAACAACATATCACTTCATCAAAGGGAGATATGATGTAGGGTGTATTTGAATATCATTCCTATTCATATTTAGTACATATATTGAGCACCCTTGTTAATTATCATTACTTCACAGATGTTTAAGCCCTATGCTTTCGCCATACCTTCGGGAACAACCTGGAAATGTCATTGTAGGATAGCTGGGCATTGCATAACCATACATTGAGTTCAACATCCAATACTTCCTTTATACACAGCAGTTCATGGTTCTGCTTTGGCTGTTGCTTACACCTAACTTTTCTCCAACTGAATATATTTGGTCTGGGGTATGACTGACTCTGATATGACAAAGATCGTCAATGGGTATACAGATGAATGTTGGCAATGAATCAGCCTCCTTGATTGCAATAGCCCAAAATGTCTTTCAAAGTCTCTCTAACTTGATGCCTCACATAGGAGTTATTTTTGCTTATGTTGGTCTTATTTGGTACTGATCATAGCACATTCTGTTTGCCTAATGTAAATGAAATTTGAATGATTGTATCTTTGATTATAAAAATTCTGTGAAATAGACTTGGTTATGTTTTCTTTTGTTCTTATTCATGTTACAGTTTTATTGATTATAGCTAATGAGCTAGATAGATGTTCAATATGTTTTCTAAATGACAACATATGTTATTTTTAAATATTTTTATGAATTTTCTGTTGTGTAAATGTTTATTGATTTGTTAAAAAACTGAATTTGAAATATTTTTAGATGTTTTAATTTTTTTTTTAAGTATTTGCTTTTGATTTTGAAATTAAGCTTTTAGTATTGATTAAAATAGAAATAGATTTAAAATGTAATAAATGTTTTAAATATTAGTAGTTGTTTTTAAAATACTGAGTTTTCAGAGAATTTTAGTTTCGTTTTAAATTAGAATATTTGGGAAGTTAATCATATTATGTATGTAAAGTATTAATTTAAACTGGAATTTTTATGTCTTGTCCTCTATGATAATCATTTTTTTGTTTTGTGAATTGATTTTGAGAAAGTAAAAGCATTTTCAAATAATAAAAAATCAAACTGGAAAATGGAAAAAATACTTAAAATTGAACAATCTCAGATTTATGAAATAAAAAGAAAAATTAAAGATGAATATGGGTAAATTTTACATATACTTAATTCAAATAATTATGAAATGAAAATCCAGTAATGGAAAATTTTGCTTTAAATACAATAGTTATAAACCAACAAATTAATTTGAATATTTTAGTTTGACTAAAATACCTATATTGTTGCTTGTTTAAGATTTTTTTTTTTTTTTCAATACATAGAAATCTCCTATACTGATTTGTATTCAGTCTTATATCTTACTACTCATTGATTATTTATCTTGTTCCTGTATAAGCTAATATAATAATAATCAAAACCAGGCTAATGAAATGTGTTCTCAATGCATTGTTTCTTTATTTGTGTATTTCTTTCTTTGTATATATCATTCTTCGATGAGTTTTGTATTTTCTTTAGCATTACTTTGAGTTAAATAAAGAGCATGTATGAAAAGGAAAGCCTTTGAAAACATCATTTTATTTGCTAGTATTTCTTAGACTTGTATAGATTTCAAATTTTTCATCATGTAGGTAGTTTTCTTGTTGTATTAATTTATGAATATTTATATCCGTTTCCTCCTTTAGGTTTCTGCAGATATTGAGGCTTTGAAAGATGTGACTCCTTTAGTAGACATAAAAGCATCTAGTCGCCAAGCTATGGTTAATAGTTTAACAGATAATACAACTGAAACATTTTGGGAAAGTGGTGATGAAGATCGAAATAAAGTCAAGATGCTTAATTTGTCTTGTGGCTCTAAAATACAGCCTAAGATGGTTTATATTCATATTGATAATTGTAGAGATTTAGGTGTAAGTATGTGATGATAGTTTTTCTCCCTAAATTTTTTTAAGGTACTTAACATATTAGTGCAACCATTTCAATAGAAGGCGCCATATTTTCAAAATTTTAAGCCCAGCAGTTTTTATGACAAATTATGATATGTTCTTATCGTAAACTCAATTTTAAAATGTATGCATGTGGAATTTGCCTGTGGTTGAAAAAACTTCAGTGAAACTTCTGCGAGAATGTAATAGTTTATCTTAAAAAAATCATTAAAGGGGACATTTTCTTTGAATTCTTATTCACTGCCTTGAAATTTTCAACATAGCCACTAGAGAAACAAAAACCTATTGGAATGATGGTTTATTGAATTATTTTAATGTGTACATGTGGCATGCATGCGCACTGATTTCATTATTCTTTGTCTTCTGTAAAAATCACAAAACAGTACCAGAGTGATTGCAGTGATATATATATTATAAGTACATTTTTTTTCTTTTAGTGATGGATTTATGCATTAATCAGTATCAGAAGTCAAACACCAATAATTTAAATAATTAAATCAAATAATAAAATAATTTTCTGCTGAATTTGTCTTATTTCTTAATACTTCATTTAGTAACTGTTATTAACATAAAAGCTAACATAAAGATTATATACTAGCTAAAACTATTTACATAAAATGTATGATCAGGTGTCTAAATTAATTGATTTTAAGACTTTTAAATGATATGAAATTTTAATACAAATATTTGTGTAATTTATTGACTTTTGTTATATTTAGTTCTATATATGTTTGACAAAAATGTGGTATTAAAGATATTTTTAGAATTGATAATAATTGGTCATTAATCCATATTTAGAGTATTAGCAATGATTTATGGGCAAAATTTCATTCTTTTCATTGAATTCTTTTAAAATTAGTTTAAATGAATGTTCCCATATGTGCACATCTGTGCGTAAATGCATGCAATGTTCGATATTCTTGTTCTGAAATCATACTGTAGATGTTGAAATTTTGTTTGCTATAACTAAATTTTATGTTCTATAAAATTCTTCATAATTATTAAATTATTTTCTGTTGATATTCTTTTCAGATGAAAGCAATCTTAATATTATTGATTGTCTTATAATTATCACTTTTATTACAGTGAGTTTAAGTTGTATCAGTTTTTCTTAATTTTAAAATGTTTCCTTATTTTGAATAATATTATGTGAATTATGTTTTAATAAATTATTAACATTTAGAGAGTAGAAAGTAATAGCAGAAGAAAATAAATAAATTTGCTGTCAGTGTACTGAAAACTAGTAGCAAATTTTTTTTTCTCCCCTTCTTTTAACAATTGTAAGAGTATAATGAGTAAAAATGTATGTTTTTAAAAATATTTTTAATGTTGAATGATACATTTCTGTAATTTATCATGTCATTCGATTTTCTTTTATTCATTTTACTGGTTTAGATTAATTTCATTCCTTATTGTTCTTATTTAGATTAATTTCTTTTCTTCAATTGTTCTTTCTTGTATTTAGAATAAAGTTTCAGGCGTGACATTTAAGGCTAGTCCTAGTTTTGATGAAATGGTGAAACTAAAGCAGGTAAAATCAAATGTAATTCCTATAGTTGTGTGATGTTTTTTTAAATATTAAAGTGAATAAAAATGTATAATTATGTTATGTGAAATTTTTTTTTAAATTTATTGAGAAGTAGAAATAAAACATTAAATGTAATGTGATATATGTAGATGATATAGTAGATGTTCATCATGGGATTTTTGATTGCAGTATGTTACTTTAAAGTAAGCTCTTCAAGGTCTTTTCATCTTTCCTCATTTTCATTCATAACATATAATATCATCACCACACAACACTTATTTTATCCACGTTATTTGAGACTGAACTTTAAGTCAACCTTCATTTGTGCACTTTTCACAAAGTGAAATACACTGAAAATAAAGTGGGGGGGGAGGAGGGAGTTAGAAAAGTTGACCATCTGCTGCAACTATTGTTCTGTTGTTATGAGGTAAGCTGTGCAGAAAGGGGGGTGGAGATGTTCTTGTAATGCTTATTCTAAAGTAGGAGATTATAACTATGCCTGCTGGATAGCAAAATGGTAAATATCTTTTATTTATAAATATATATAATATATATATATATATATATATATAATATATATATATATATTCAACAGATTCTGACTGATTGTAGAAATTGTATATTGTGAGTATATATATATATATATATTAATTTCTTATGAAATTAAAAAATCCATAATAAAATTTTTTGATGAGTTTGGAGGGGAACTAATGTCATCATCTGACAATGAGCCGTGTAATAAGTGTTGATTATTGATCAAAATAATTAAAGATAAGTTTGCTTTGAATTATATAGATCAGTCAAATTTAAATGTACTTTCTAAAAGAATGGAAGTCGTAATAATTACGGTAATAAAACATTCTGCCATAAAGTCTGTCAAACTTTCTTCTCTGCTATGTATTAATACTAATTCTTTCAGTAAAGAGTAATATTATTTTAGGGCTGGATATTAATAATAAATTTTATATATGATAGTACTGACTGTCTTTGAAGCTGACAGACAAAAAGTATTTCCAGTATATTAAATATTATTTATAGTTTTCATGACCTTTATGATTAGAGGCTATTTTTTGGAGGAGTGTAAATGAAAATAAATGGAAGTTTTCTTAAAATTAAAATATGTAAATTATTGTAGTAGTTTGATGTTAGATATTTTATTCTGTTTCACTTTTTGAGCTACTGAAGTTCATTTAGGCATGATTTACTATTAACTATTAGCATGATTACTATTAACTTTTTAGCAATTCAGATGTTTAGAGTTAAGTTGCTTGATGATATGAACTGAGAATTAGTAGGAATATTATGGCAATTTGGGCATTTTTTCATGTATTTAATTAAAACTATATATATCATAGTTGTAATCAATAAAATTTCCTATAATCTCCACTTGATAGGTATTTTTTGTCATGTGTAAGGAAGACTTTCTGTAGAATATTTAATGTAATTTAGCATAAGCTTAAGTTCTTAAAATGCTTATATAGCTGTTGCAGTTATTTGTATTAAATTAAAACTGACGTAAAATGAACATGTTTAGCCCTCTTACCATGCACTAAAAAACAGTTGCAAAAATGAGTACTTGTTGCATAAAATGTGTCATCACATATTTTAAATTAGAAACGCTTTAATATGATATTTCTTATTCCAGTATTTGTTTAATAAGTTGGTTTAAATTGAATTTAACACATTATGCAGATCAATATAACTTGTTATAAATTTTCTTTTAAAGTTTTTAAAGCTGTTTAGTTGCATTAGTCTATATAAAAGTTTAACTTTTTGCTCATATATGTTACTGTGCAAATTTTTGGTATTCATTTCTTCTTTACCTTCGTGCAGCTTAATTATTTTTTTTTATAATTCTTCTAATAGTTCACAAATTCCTTTGACACTCAGGCCTATTAGTATTACACATGAACCTATTTATAAAAACATTGAGAAGTGTGGAAATTTCTAACTTACTCTTTATGCATATATACCTAAGGGCATTATGAAAAACTATTATAAAAAGTTTAATAAACACAAGAGATAAATAAAAAATTTACAAATGTTGAAAATTAAACAGAAACTAAAAATTAAAAATGAATTGGTAATTAGAATTAAAAAGATTGTTTGTTGATTGTATAATTCTGATTGTTACATGGAATAAAAAACTGAAAGAAAATGTATTCACATTACTAGGGGCACAAGACATAGATTATACTGCATCATTAGCTTTCACACTTCACAGTCTAATTAAAAAGCTAAAAATTGTTTTAGTGGTGCTAAAATTTTTTATAGAAAATGAAGGAGTTTTATGTGGAAAAAAACTGCTTAAAGGCTAAATAAGTGGCAAATTACTCTGTGGGCATTAGTATCACAATCTAGCATGAAAATCATCAACATAACTAGTGCATAAAATATGTTGGCTGCCTGCTCGAATACTAAGCTAAAAATAAGTAAAATTATACATCATGTTTTTTTTTTTTTTTTTTTTTTTTTTTTTTTTTTTTTTCCCCCGTCAAAGCACTGAGAAATAAACTGAGATTTTAGTTATAATTTTTGTAAGTTTGCTAACAAAACCTAGAACAGCTAAATGTCTAATCTGCTGCAAATATCTGATCAAATATAATATGACAAATTCAGTATAGATGCCATATTATCAGCAGAATTTGATTATGTCTTAAGGAAAGAAAATTTATTTTGATTACTAGTGCTGTTTAATCATAAGAGTGTCAGCAAGAATTGTGTTGAAATGCATTAGAAATTCTATGTGAAACATGTTTAGCATTTCATTTAAAATGAATTATTTGAAAAAGGAATAAATACATTTAAAAAAGAATACACAATTGTATAATTTTAACTTTTCTCACTAAATCCTTCTTATAGTTTCTGGTTTATGCAAAGTAGATTCAATGATTTTTCTTAACTTTAAATTAATTTTCAGAAATTTACAGAAATTGTATTTAACAAGTTGGAAAAAGGATTTTGTGTATATCTCTTTGTTTGTTGATATAAAGTCTTATATTTTGAGCTTAAAAATTGGATTAAATTCAGATTTTTAGTGAAGAGGCAGACACTTCAGGTTTTCTCTTAAACACATTGAGACTTTTCATATGAAATTAATGTCAAATTATTATTATTATTTTTTTTTTTTTTTTAAATTCTGTCTTTGAAGATACATTTAATTTTTATTTTACACTCATTTCTGTTGCATCTCTTAAAAAAGTGTTGAATGTGAGTATCTTGTTATTTTATGATAAATAATTACAGGTTGAAGTTGAGAATCGTTACATTGGATGGGTAAGCTGTGATATTCCTGATGGAAAACATACATGCATTAGGATTGAATTAAAGGGACCAGACAATACTTTAAGGTTACGTCAGGTGAAAGTTTTGGGAAGTCAGGAAGGAGAAAGTATCCGCATTGGAAAGAAAGTTAGTGCTATGCAGATACAACAAAAAAATTGTGAAGCAGAAACGCTGAAGGTGTTTAGGTTATTAACATCTCAGGTAATAAATTTGTATATGAAACTAAAGATACATTTAAATTTTAAATTCATTCATTAGTGCACAAAATATATTAATGTATTTAATTTTTCATACAATATTTTTATGAAGTGCTTTTAAAAGCATTAATTAGTTTCTAGACTTACTATAATGGTATGTGTATTATATGTACGAGGGCCATCCAGGAAGTAGATTACGTTTCCGTCTGTGTCCGCTAGGGGCGGGGCTAGCGCGGCCATCTTGGGGTCAGAGCGTTGTGCAGCTCAGTCTGCATCTAGCCGTGCTAGTGAGAGGTTCGTGCTGTGCTCCGTTCAGATACTGTGACGGTTTGAAATGTCTGCGTTAATTGAAAATCCCGCGAGCTGCGAGGTGCGCTCAGTAATAAGGTTTCTGACTGCAAAAAACTGTAAACCGATAGAAATCTATCGGCAGCTTCGTGAAGTGTATGGGGACAACATTATCACTGAAGGTGGAGTGCGTCAGTGGGTCATAAGATTTCAAAATGGCCGAACCAATGTTCACGACGAAGATCGAAGTGGGAGACCCAGCATAGTGACCGCCGAACTTCTCGAAAAAGTCGATGCTAAAGTCCGTGAAAAATGAAAATCGAAATTTCACAATAACGGAACTTTTGATTTTTGAGTTTTCCACAAATTTCGCGAAGTTTGTTGCACGAAATCATCAGCGAAAAAGCTTGGTTACCACAAGTTTTGTGCAAGATGGAAGGCAAGAAAAGAAGAGGTAACGAAGTGGTTGAAGGCGCAGGCGGCCGAATTTTTCGACGAAGGAATTTCCAAGCTCGTACATCGCTACGATAAATGCCTTAATTTGTATGGTGACTATGTAGAAAAGTAGTATTTGAGTGTGGCTTTCATCTGTATATAATAAAATTTGTTTCCTATACTTTGTTTATTTTTTTATTCCAAAACGTAATCTACTTTCTGGATAGCCCTCGTACATATATACTATAATGATATGTGCGTTTTAATTTTTTGCAATAATGTAATTTATTAACCAAGTAATTTTTGTAGTACCGTTATGGTATATACATGCATATGTGTATACACATGCACACACATAATTACATACAATACTAAGACATTGCATGTATATTTGCGTGTGTGTATGCACACATGCATATATATAATTTCTTAATATTGTATACTATTACTGAATTTAAATACAAAAAGTTTTTCCCACCAGTAATACAATTTATGCCATTAAGTTATAGGACTAGAATATTAACTATTGCTTGTAAGTAAGAATAGTAATTTTAAAGTAAATAAGTAGTTTTAAATTTCCATTAAAATAATTTTTAAATCTTATTTTATGCCATCATTTGGCATTGATGCTATTTCTTTTCTGTATTTCCTTATGTTTTTAAAATTTAATAACACTTCAATTTTAAGTATCTCACTTTCTTTCACATTATTTTCTTTGTAACTTTATTTATGTCTTCTTTATGCCTCCTTTTCTAATTTTTAGTCCAAAATTTTCACTCACATTGGAGTGGCCTTTTGAAATATTAAATAGTTTTTGCATATACTTTATATGATGGTTCTCTCATCAGATGTTTCTATTACATTATGGGAGACCAATCAGTTATCATAGCATTGGTTGTAATATAATTGAGATAATTAGGACATTTTAATGTTTGAGAATTAAATGTTCAAATTAATCTTTCAGTTTAGAAAAGCTAAAAGCTTTATTTTTCAAATTATAGTTTCTTTGCCTAAATCAGATCTGCAAACATATATTTAAATTTGTGAAAAAAGTGGGATTTGCTTTCTCAGGGCTGCTACAGTCAAAAGTCATTAATCCGGACTCGTCGGGACTTCGGCGATTCCGGATTATCGATTTTTCCGGATTATAGATCATCAGTTTAAATCTCGTAAGATGGCATGCAGAAATTCTAAAATTAAAAATATGAAACCGTAATTTATGAAATAAAGAACAATTATGATATAAAGGGTATCAAAATTTACAAAAAAAAAAAAAAAAAAAAAGCTTAATATTTATTTGTTTACTTTATTACACATTTCTTTCAATGTAAGTTGTTTAAGTTGCTTCGTTTTATGTGATAATACTTTCTCTTGAATTCTATAAACAGACATAATTTCTTGTTCAGTTACAAAGTTCCGCTGTTCAAGTCCCGTAATTGCTGTGCAGAGATTACCGACTAACTTGTCAATCGAAATTTTTTTGTTTTCACTAACCTCTCTGTCACCTTCTTCATGTCTTTATCCATTTTTTGCAGCAATTCCACTTTTTGTTTGATGGACATCGAAACATACTTTCATTTTGTAGATCCTTTGAGAGCTCCAGCATAGGAAATTCTATTTGATATGATCGAAAGTTTAAGTTTACTTTTATAAAATTGCTCTTACAGTCTGCAAAAAATAATAAGCCGGATCCAATTAGAAGATTAAGGAACAATGCAATCATCAACATTAACTAAAATAGATAATTAGATAATTTTAGCTTATACCGCCCGTTATACATAAAACGTGCACGCGAAAACGTATTCTGCGCTTGCGCACACGCATATGCGCAGTCGTAAAGGTCTTACATGCACGCATAAACGCCTATGCGCATGTGTCAATGCGACGCATGCGCAAGTTTTTAGCTTTGAGGTCCGGATTATGGGTGTCCGAATTAATGACTTTTGACTGTATAAGACATGTCTATAATTTAATTGAAGCAAAAAAAAAAAAAAAACTCTATTTAGTGGAATGTCCTTTCTCCCTTTCTTTTAAATTTTATATGAACAACTTATGCTCCTCCTGATCTCAGCAATTCAGATACTTAAAATTTTATTATGTTGTGTTCTCAGACCTATATGGAAAGATGAGTAAAATAATTTTAAATAAGCTGACTATTTCTCCTTTTGTTATGAACATGCTGTCCATTATTTAAATAAATAGTTTTGAGTTAAGGCAACTATAAAATATGTTGCAATCTATATAATTCTGAAATTCCAAAATGGATTTATTCACTTTGTTTTCCTGATTATACGCTACTTAAAAATTGTTTGCAGGTATTTGGAAAACTTATCACTGGTGAGCAAGAATGTAGTGAAGATAAAAAAAATGTTATTAATCATGATGGAGATCAAATGCAACTTTCTCAATCTCAGAGCACGTTGGAAACAAATGATCTGAAAGAACACATGGTGGGAATTTTGTTCTCCCGAAGCAAGCTGACACATTTACAAAAACAAGTACGTTTTAGAATATATTTAGGACAAAGTATTTTAAATATACAGAATTTATTAAATTTGAAAATCACGTTTATTCTACAAGTATTGTTTTCTAAGAATCTCGATTTGAATTCTTTTTTAAAAATTATGTGCAAAACTATACATAAAATCATTTTTCTTTATTTTAAAATACTACAATAGTTTTATACTTTATACATACTTATAAAGTATAAGACAAGTAAGTAAATAAAAATGATTTGTTAAAATATAGTCAAACCACTTATTAAAATCTGATGCCTAGGTTTAATATGTAATCAGATTCTATTTTAGAATGAAATCTGATTTTACATCTTGATATTTTTCTGATGCTTTCTTAATGAATATTAATGAATGAATGATATGAATTTTATTGTTAATATACCTTTAACAAGAGTTCTAGTCTTTTTTATTCTTCAAAAATTTATTGCATTGGATATTGCAATATTCGAAAGTAATTGTATATACATATTTATTTACACAATTTGGTTTCAATAAATTTATATTTTCTACAAAATTAGAAAAGACTTGAAATTCACATACAGAGTAAAATTAATTACATTTCTCATTTAGGTGTGTTCTCATATTGTTGCGGCAATTAGAAAAGAAGCTGCGAGGGTTCGTGATGAATGGGAAGCTCTTTTGTGTAGTAAATCTCAGTCTGTTGAGGAACTGCCCAAATCATCTGATGCTTACTGTTTTGAAATGCTGTCCATGGTACTAGCTCTTAGTGGCTCGAGTGTTGGGCCGTTCTTATCTTGCTCAACAAGCTGGATTATTAAGAGATTTATTTAGCTTACTTCATACTGGCTCAGCTAGAGTACAAAGACAGGTAATTATATTTGTATTCAATGCTTGATGTTTGGTAATGTAATATTTAGGGAATTTATTGCAAAAATACATTTTAAATTTAAGTTATATACATATATATTATCTTTTGCAGTTAGTTTTAATGTGCTTTTTCAAAATAAATATGGGATTTTTAGGGTTAAAATATTTTAAATAGTTAATTATTAGTTATAAGTATTTAAAATGCACCTTAAATGATTCTATTTACATAATTAATAATAAACTATCTTTAAATTAAAATATATTAATTTCTTTCAAAGCTGTGTTAATGTATAAGACAAGTAAGTATAGAATAAAGGAATAGATATAAATGAATCATCTGAAGTTAAGTGGAGTTATAATTAAGTAAAATCCTGACTATATGTATTCAGCTAACTGAAATATTTTAGAATTTTAGAACAAAAATTTCCCTGAAAAATTAAGTTAAATAAGAGATTTGTAATGCCATTATAGAGCTTTGTTATCTCCATACATTGTTACCAAACAATGTGATGTAGCACCAAGGGATAAGTATGATGTCAGAACACAATCATATGAACTTAAATTTGATTTTCTGTAAACACAATTAGGGCAGTAATTCTTGATAAGCCAGTTTAATTTTTTAAAAAGTATATCAGTTCTATTTATTCCTCCCATTTTGAAAAAAATTTTAATGTTTAGGACAAAGTATATCAGTTCTATTTATTCCTCCCATTTTGAAAAAATTTTTAATATTTAGGACCTGCATTATATGGGACACCATGCAGTGGAGTATTTTCAAAGTTACAGAATTCTAGCACCAAAAGGGCAATTTAATAAGCCAGTTTAATTTTTTTTAAAGTATACCAGTTCTATTTATTCCTCCTCTTTTGAAAGAATGTTTAATATTTGGGACCTACTTTATATGAAATAGCATGCAGTAGAGTAATTTCAAAGTTACAGAAGCCTGGCACCAAAAAAAAAAAAAAAAAAAAAAAAAAAGACTGTGCAGCTTTATTTGAAAATATGTAAACAATGGTGATGCATGATAAAAAATTATGATAAGTGATTTACATTTTTATGCTATATCCATAAATTGTAGTTGTTTATTATCTAACTAAATAAACAATTGTCTGTTCCTTTACACATCTACCAGACTGATTGACACAAGTTTAACAACATCTCTGCCAACTTTTCATATTCATAAGGATTTCATAGTTGGATAAGTTGTTTCAATTTCATGTTTAAGGCCTACGAAATATGCCAGTTTTTATATCTGAAATACAATTTTTTTTTCAAAATCTTGAATAAGTTAAAACCTAGGCTTTTGATATTAAATATGATTGTTTGTGTAATTTTATACCAGAAATTTCTTCTATTTATTTTTCTTTTCTAACATGAATTCCATTTTTTTTATATACTCAACTATCTAGAATTTTCATTTGGCATTTTCTGAGCTCTCCGGATAATCAAAATTTTACAGTAATTTGAAATGACAATTTTTAAAAAACAAATTTGCAACATTTAGATGACATTTTCTAGTGAAAAAACAACAAAAAAAAGTTTTTTGATTTCCGAGATAATAAAAAGAAGTCTCATAGATTTCCGGTAATGAAAATTATATGTCTTTTTTATGTGACTAAAAAGGTATCACTGTAATTGTCCTTCCCCTCCCCAGTGATCAGTGAGTAAATATCAGTGCATCTTACATATTATATTAACATTTTATAAGTATATCAAATAAGATCCCATACATTCGAATATAGTTTGCATAGGAGTAGGAACTATCTAACCTTCAGGTTCCCAAGTTTCACAGTATTAGCTGTTACTAAAGCTAATCACCTCCTTTGTTTCAGATGAATTGTTTGTTATAATTTTTATTTTGAGAATTTTTTTAATTATGTATCATAAGATTATAAATTATTATTTGATTATTATTTTTAATGAAATTTTGTCCACTTTTTATGCGTCATTCGCTTTGTACTGTGCATGCTAACAAAAATAGAATTAATTTTTTATGCTCACAAAAATTTTAGCACATGGCTTATATTAAATCCAAACAGTATTAAGTATGAATTAGCAATTTAAAAAGATTTTTGTAATTTATGCTAATATATTACTGTAAATTTGTGTAAATATTTAAATTCATGTAATTGCAGTGTTGTTTTTGTATATTGTTGTAATGTTTTGTACAGTTTACTAGTTTATTTGTTATTTTTAAGATAATAGTTTTAGGGTTTCTTTTTTTAACTACACATTTTATATATAAGTTTATATCTTTCTTGTATAGAATTATAGATATTTCAATTCTGAATCCAGTAACATTTAAATTGTAAAAATAACCCAGTTAGAATGGAAGATATGGGTATAAATGCTCCTGATGACATTTTGCGATTTTCAACCAGTTTGGCAACTTTCTTGAAGTTTTGGAAAACGCACTTTTGAAAGTCTAGAATTAATTTCTTCCAAAGCTTCTTTCTAGTTAACCTGCAACACCACAACTTGTAACTGTACCACATAAGTACAGTTACAAGAGCCAGGTGGCAGAATAAATAATTAGCTCTGAGACTTTGCAGTTCAAAGAAAACTGCATTTTATTATTTATTCTGTGAGTGATTGGGAGAATTTACAGTATTCCTCATGGGACAAGGTGTTATTTATATCTATTTGTTTTCTGTGTGCCATTATTATTTACGTAAACTGTCAGTTTTGTCATGCTTATTGAGAATGATTATTTAAAGAGACGAATCCATAGCTAACATTAATATACACTGCCCTCCAAAAGTTAAGAACAGCATGTTTTTTGTTGTCTAATTTGAGAATGAAGTTAAATAGAATGCAAGAAATTTACAGGACAAGTTCACTAAACAGTTCTTTAATGAATGTGACATAGAATGTTTCTAAAGTTCAACACGATCATGAATTACAATAAAAATTGCTCTTTTAGCAGAGAAATCCAGTCTTGGAAAAATAGTATATAACAGTTTTTTGAGCAAAAATGGGGTGTTTACATTACAAAAGTGGGTTCTAATAAGAAATGTGTCCCCTCTAGCTTCAATACATTGGCAGCAACAATGTTCTATGCTGTCAATATAGTTCCAGTCAGTGAAATCGGGAACAACTACCAGACACGGAGTAATCCTTTTTCAAGCTCATCTAACAACCTTGGTGGAGGATTTGAGCAACCTGTCTCCCAAGGTAATCCCAAAGATGCTGTATCCAGTTTAAGTCTGGGGATTGAGCTGGCCATTCCATCCGCTCCATACCATGACCCTCAAGATAGTCTTCAGCAAACTGAGCTTGGTGCGGTTGCACATTGTCATCCATCCAAAAAAAAAAAAAAAAAAATCCAGAACCAATAGCAGCGGCATATAGGCAGATATATTGATCTAGGATCTCATCTCGATATCTCACACCGGTCCAAGATCCTCCATGGAAGACATGCAGGTCAGTGTGACCACCGGTAGAGATCCCAGCCAAAACAATTATTCCAGCACCTCTGTAATTGTGTTCTTCCATGGTGTGGGATTGGTTCTGTCTGGTGTGTTGTTCCCTCCAGATCAGCTGACGACCTGAATCACTCTCCAGTGGGAACTTGGACTCGTCTGTGAAGAGAACAGGTGCCTATTGTTGACTGGTCCAGAAAACTTGTTTTCTTGCCTAACATAAACAGGCACCTCTGTGTCCTTGGGTCAAAGGAACACAAACAACTGGTTGTCTTGCATATAGACCTGTATTGTGCAGATGTCTGCACACTGTAGTAGCTGAGATTCTTGTTCCTATTGCCACAAAATGATCTGCCATGAGCTGAGGCACAGTAATGTTACTCCTTGTTCGGGCTGAAAGAACTAAATAATGGTCTGCCGCAGGTGTTGTAACTCTAGGTGTGCCTGGAACATGTCTTCTAGACACAGAATCCGCAGATTCAAACTAATTCCATAGTCAATGGACTACACTATGAGAGACATTGAGAGATGTCTAGCAGCATCAGCTTGTGACATCCCCATTTCCATCCAATCCGATCACCCACCACCTCAACAAACTGGGCAAACGACTTCTCCTGGACATTGATAAGGTCTCCTGGATATTGTCCATGAAACTGTAATAGCAATTGAAAATAAAAACTGAGGAACAAAAATTACTTAGTTTTGCATTTTTTTCCAACTCCTATACACGTATTCATTTTTATAAAATAAAAGCAGTAGCTTTTGTTTTTGCATGTATTTTCTTGAACTTCATTATTGTCATGCATATGAACTTTTTGGATAATTTGAATAGAAACATTACTGACATTTTTGTAATGGTGAGCTTTGAAAAACTTGCTGTTCCTTAACTTTTTGAGGGCAGTGTATAATCAAGCTGTTTCTGATAACATTCGATTCGTGTATAAAAAACCTGAAACTATTCTAGTTATTAGATAAAAATTATTGTCTAACTGAGAAAAGTGCTGAAAATTTATATGATTTTACTTTTTTTAAATGTTAAAAGAAAATAACTTTAGTTTTGTGTTGTATATTCTAGTTCTTTAAAATCATTGTTTACTTTAAATATTAAAAAAAAAATGTAAAATTTGCTATAAATATAAAAAAATTAGCTGAAGAACTGTTGAGATTTAATATCCATCTTATAAATAGTTTATAACCCTCTCCCTCCAAAAAAGCAAAAAGTTTAAAAATGTGCTTATAAGTAGGTCACTCTGAAATTTTTTAGATATGTGCAGATAATGAACAGCAAAAACAAAATAATGGTTAGATTTGAAAATATGAACTATTTTAGCCTAGCAGACAGTTTTTTATTGGTCAAATGCAAGTAGTTTAGCATAGAATAAATTTTAGGCAGAAAGAAAAATGGAGTTGATGTGATAACATTATCGCGCTATTATTTTAAAGTGGGATTAAATCAAAAAGAATGCATTCAGTGTCTGCAGTTAACATTTGCAAAATTTCACAGAGGTTGCAACTCTCTTCAGGATGAAGAACACACAGGAAGACTGTTATCAGCTGTAATCCCCGGATAATGTGTCTGCCATTCTGGAAAATGTTAATCAATGATAATTCCTGCACTTGTGGAATGATACAGAAGGAACATTGGATACCTGGCCATACGTAAAATTATTCTTGAAGAATTGCATATGAAAGAACTAATTGGCCATCGGGTTCCCCATAATTTATCTGAGCACCAAACAGAAGAGCATGTCAGAATCAGTAAATAAAGCATTAAATTACTTAAAGATGGTGGACACTGCATTATTTTTAAAATCATAACTGGTGATGAAACATATATACCATTTTTTGATGTTCCAATACTTCAAGAAAGTAAAGTATGGGTCTTTGAAAATGATCCCACATCCACAATGGTAAAAAGACAACATGCCATGAAGAACATAATGTATGCCATTTTCTTCAGAAGTACAGGACTGGTCAAAGCTATCAAGCCGGAATGACAGGAGACTGTCACAGCTAACTGGTATACTACTAAGTATCTTAATTAAGAAATTCTTCAAGAAGTAAATGCTAGAGGATTCATGCTCCGCTATGAAAATGCATCCTCTCGTTCAGCAAGATTGACAGTTGAGTTTTTTTTTAACAAAAACGCATCAAAGTGATAGAACATCCACCTTCTTCACCCGATCTAACTATGTGTGACTTTTAGCTATTTTTTAATCTAAAAAAGAACTTACGTAGGCATTGTTTTCATTCCAAAAATGAGATTTATGAGGACATAAATACATTTTTTTCCTCAATTTCAAGAGATGAACGGTGTGAGACATTTAATCTTTTAAACTTTGCCTACAGAAGTGCATAGATGCTAGAGGAGACTACTCTGAAAACTCATAAAATTCCATAAATATAATTTTAAAAACTTAACGTGTATCTGAAAAATTTCAAAGTGGCCCTCATAAAAGTGTATTTTCAAGAGAACCAAAAGGTCGTTGTTTGTATGGCAAATGTGAGTTAAAGCTTTTTTAGCATAATGCCTTTTTTTAGTTATTAATAGATATTTAGTATAATACATTAATTATTCTTATATTATATATATAATTATTCTTGCTGTTAAGTAGTAATGGTATAAGTACTCTTTCAAATGTAATAGTGTCAAAAGTAGACTTTTGAAAATAGTTACTTCATGTAAAATTTTTGTAATTTCTTTTATTCTGTAGGTCACATCGCTTTTGCGAAGGGTTCTGCCTGATGTTAGTCCTCCAACTTTGGCATCAATTCTTGGTGTAACATCCTTACCCCCAACTGATTTTAGCATAATTTCAGAAGCTAATAAGGAAAATAAGCAAGAAGAAAGTTCATTTGATATACATAACACTGGCATTTTAGATGTATTTTTGGCATGTATAGCAAAAGCATTAACTGTTCAAACTAAAGTTAAAGGTTCTACTACAAATACTAAAGGCATCAATACAGTAACATTAGCAACTTCAATTCATCCAAGGTAGGTCACTAAATTTATTTTCTCTCGCATAGGAATTAATATAGTTAATTAGCAATCTCTAATGTAAAATATTAAAATTACACCTAAAATAAATTTCTCAGCTTTTAATATTTATCGAATTTTCAATTTTATGAGAAATCAGTGAATGCTCTCCAAATTAATTTGAAAAATGTTTTTGCATTTAAAATGAAATGAATGCATATGCTTTTTATTTACATAGAATATGTTCAATTATGTTCAATTGTAAACATAAAGCCAATAATAATCTATTTAAAAAAAGTTTTACCGCTGTTAATTTTAGTTTCATTAACCACTGTTAGATAATTAGAAATGAAATCCATATTATATAATCTAAACTGCTAAATTCTAATTGAGAAACTATTTTTTTTAAATTAATTTATTATTATGATAAGAATTCTTATTCATTTCATGATAAACAGCTAAATTGTAATTGTACAAACCAAATTTTTTGTAATTTTTCAGTATGGGATCTACTGTTTTTAGTTAGTTATTTATTTTTGAGATGGTAGTTCTAAAATTGGTTGTTGTTTTGATCATTCTTTTACTCAGCATTTTATTGCATGTTCCAATTTAAAAATAGAATTTCATGGCACCTCTAAGAAATAAATAAGTAGTTAAACACAGAAGATTATGTACTACATGATTATTGAATTTGTAACTTTTAAAGTTAAACAAGGATTTTTTCCCTCTATATCTTCTCTAAAAAACACTGGTACATAATGATCAGAGTAGTAATCATCTTAAATAGTACAACAAATGTTGAAATATTTATTAATAGATAACAATTAGAGTGCAGTATTTGTTAAGTCTAACATACCTTAAATGAGTAGATGTATTGTAATTGAATTAATTTTTTTTTCTGGCTGGAATTTTTTTTTTTTTTTTTTTTTTTTTTTTTTTGACAGAAACACCTTTTAAGTTCCATTTGTCATTTTTCAAACAGTTTTGATTTGGAGAAATAAATTATATGGCTGAAAATTTCTCTTAGTGAGTTATGTAACGAGATCTTTAGCTTATGTGATTACATTGTGCAGATATATTATTTTAATTTATAGCAGTGAATAATTTCAGGATGTCTTAAATTAGTCACTGCAATAATGTTCTTGTTACCCCATAAAATGTAATTTCAGTTCTCCGAGCTTAATGATTCTATCATAAAATGCATATGTTTCAATGTTGTGACTTTTAAAGGCCTTCTAGGTTTGTAAGAGTTAAAACTTTTATTTAGAAGTTCTCTTTGTTGCTTGAAGAATATATTTACTTCTTCAAGCAACAATATTCAATTATATTTACTTTGTTTTATTTATGATTGTATTTTTAATGCACATTATAAATAGTCGTACCAGAAATACCAAATATTAAATTTAATCTATAAAAATTAAAAAATTTCATACTTCTTATAATATGTTTTTATGAATTTTTATATTATTGTGTATGATTATTATTTACTCTTGTCGTATTTGCCAGAGCTTACAAAAAAGATCAAGATGGTTTAAACTGAATCTTAAACTCTGCACTCCAGAGATTTGAGGACTGGTGTTCTGCTAATAATATGAGAGTTAATCAGGGAAAGACTACTTGTCAGATTTTCTCTCTCAACAGACAACACTTTACTCCTAGACTAATGTATGAAAAGTCGGTTTTGCAACAGACAGATGGTGCCACCTATCTTGGCTGTATTTTTGACAAGCGCTTAAGCTGGAGAAAGCATGCAGAGCGTGTAGTTGCTAAGGAGGAGCGTAGATTAAGTATCCTTAAAACGCTTAGCAAGTGTTAAATGGAGGTTGTGATAGAGAGATTCTCAACTCGACGTATATTATGTATATTCGACCAATACTAAATTATTGTTGTGAGATATTGGTTTGAGCTACACGAGATGTGATATGTCTGGAGGTATTCCAAAATCAAGCAATGCAGTTGGTATCGGCAAACCAACCAATGACAAACCTTATTAGAAAAATGCTTTCATCGTTTTTCACAGACATATTCGTCTACCAAGTAATTCTCATTGGAGGAATTATGATTATAAGAAACAATGAACTTTAAAGACACCAAATGGCATTCTGCAATGTGTCTCTCGCCTAGAACAATACAATCATATAAGAACACTGAAATCGGCACTGCTGTTTTTGCTAAATCCTTTGGATTATAGCTTCCTTGATGTGCGGTTGGACCTGGAAATGAAAGTAGATAAGAAGAAAATGAGTCCAGAGGAAATAAGAACTATAACAGTTAACTTAAATAAGAACTATAAATTAAATAAGAACTATATAAGGAAATAAGAACTATTGAGCAACGTTTTCTGGCTGAGAAATGGATACATGTATATACGGATGGCTCTTTGACCGATAGGATCCAGGGGCTGGAGCTGGAGTTTTTAGCAAGCTTTTCAGTTTCTGTATGCCTGTAGGGGCTTACTCCACTCACTTTGATGGAGAACTTAAAGCCATTCATGTAGCTCTCCAACAATTATCATTGAGACAGAGCTCGTTCAGTAGGGCTGTTGGACTGTCTGATTCGACTTCAGCAATACAGGGCCATTTCCTCTTACCAAGAGTGTAAGAGCATATGTGTCCAACAGTGTCAGGAAGTCATGAAAAAACTTTCCTATGAGATATCTTTTTAATGGTTACCTTTGTACTGCAGTATTTATGGGAATGAGATGGCTGATATGCTTGCGAATAAGGGGGCTACGTTTCTCCAAAAGCTAAAAACAAGTGCAAGCCTCCTTTCTATTAAGCTGCTGACATTGCTAACATATCAAAACGCATTTAGAGATTTTGCCACTCGGGCTTGGGAGGGCAAGCCTTGGAGTCTTTTCTCAACAAACCCAGCTTTTGTTCCTGACCACCCGCGAACAGTTGTGGTTGCATCTTTTAGACTATTGACAGGACATGATTGTCTACCTAATCATTTATTTCACATTGGACTAGCTGATTCGCCGTTGTGTGTTTTATGTAATAGTGGACGGCCAATGACGGTGGAACATTTGGACGAGTGTGAAGCACTGACAAATTTTTCTGGTAGATTTCAGCGCTATTGGCAAGCAAGGAGTTTAATGGCCTAACAGCCAATATAATTGGCATTTGACAAATAAATAAATAAATGATTTTTATTTACTTACTTATTTATTTGTTGAATTTTACATAATAATATGTATTATTTTACATAATAATATGTTTGTGGTTTTTTTTTTTTTTTTTTTTTTTTTTCTGTGGTTGTTGTTATATATCTTTTAAATCTGAGATGATACATCTGACAATTTTTTGCCAAATTGACAATATTCTGATACTAAACTTTCTAGGAAACACATTTTTAAAACCCTAGAAGCAATTTTTCTGGAAGGTTGCAGAAGTACAGTCTCTTGAACAAAAATACATATAGAATGGCTCAGAGATGACTCTACATTTTCTGGTATTGAACTGTGATTTCAAATCTGGGTTATATGATTGTTTCATTGTTGGTCTTCTCATTTAATAATTACTGCTTTGCTGTGATAGTGATTTCAGTGATCTGTGATGTTCCTTGCAAAGGAGACTTTTACCTTATCTCTCTCTCCCTCCCTCTTTTTTTTTCCCCCTCTGTGTGTGTGTCTTTTAGACTTTAATTGATACTTATCTTGCTTTAAGAACTATATTTATCTTACTTTAAAAACTATATCTATCTATCTTAATAAAGTTTTATAGCATTTTATTATCCAGCCTAGCTATTTAAAGAGATGCTTGTGAACCCATAGAATGCAACAATATTAATTCACCAATAAGCAATGACATGCTAATTTTAATTATGAAATGTATCTGATTTTTTAATTTGTAGCCTAAGTTGCATAGCATAATTATATTAAAAGATAAGTAATTAAATTAAATGAATTCAACATAAACATGTTTTTAAATTAAGATATTTATTCAAGTAGTATACCTTGCAAAGATATGGAATGTTCAAATCGCTCTCCACATACTGTATAATATTAGTGCTTATTTTTGTCCATGTTGGTAGATACAGAATTCAAAATTATTTATTGTTTCATATAAGTATTTTTCCCCTTGTAGTAGATTTAACTGTACTTTAAATTATGCAAAAGCACAGTTGCTTCTTGTGAATAGTGTCCAACGTATTTTTAATAGATTGCTACATTTAGTTTTCCTGGTTTATAGAATAAATTTGTATTTTAATCCCTGATCATTTTCTTCAGAGACCATGTTGGAAGTAGATGGTGGTTAAGAGGCTGTATGGCTAGGAAACTTGCTGAAGTTATTATACAACTGCTAAAAGATATGGCAGCAGTGAGTGATTCTATGAATTTGTCAGTAATTTTAATGCATTTTTAACATTTTATATAAGAAATCTGAATAATGTAATATATTTCAGGGAAAATTAACAGATGCTTGGGCTAATGTGACAAAAGGAGCTATAGCTGAGAATATATTGAATCTGACAAAACTGGAAGAACATCACCGCTCTCCTTCAGAATGTTTACGTACTCCTACAGTAAATTTTCTTTCTTTGCTTTACACTCTGTAAATTAAATATTACATTAACATAACTATTTTGTATTGTTCATATTTAAAAAATTAGTTAATATATTTTGTGCACAATCATTTTAGTTGTGGCTTGCACTTGCATCTTTATGTGTTCTTGATCAAGAGCATGTTGAACGACTCTCATCTGGACAGTGGGTTGGAAACTGTGGAGATGGACAGCAATCTCAGCCTAGGGTAACATTTTCTGCAAATTTATTTATTTATTATGATTAGTTAATGCCGTATTTTCCGTAATTCCCAACTTCTATATTATATCATTAGCCTTTCTGTGATAATCATGATGATTCTGAAACTCCTGCAATAATCTTGTGTTCCACATGTGGCAACTTGTGCGCTGAATGTGACCGATATCTTCATTTGAATCGAAAAACACGTTGCCATCAGCGTCAGGTAAATGTTTTTCTATTGTATTTTAAATTTTGTTTGTTAATGTTAAACACACTCTCATTTTTATTATTGAAATTTCTGGCATATGTTCAGCTTTCCTTTATTAAACTTTTGAAAAGAGAATGCAGAAAAGAAACTTTCAATGCTTAATAATAATATAAAAATACCTCATAAAAATTATGGAATCTTTATAAAAAATTATAAGAAGTATCTAAAGATATATAAAACTTTCTACTCCAGTAATAATCATTAAAACCATGCAAAAGAAATGTACAATCATTATAGCAATGAAGGAACTCAAATCAATTGACTAATTGATTGATTTTTGTTTTCATCAGTTGAACTTAAAATAGTTGATGTTAGTGCATTCATAGAACAAAATAACATAAAAGTTCAAATAAATTTTCTTTGTTAAAGTTCTCTCTTATAGAAAGCGAAAGATGTCCTTTCTTCTTCTCTATATTTGTTCTTTAAACATCTTCTGTTATCATTATAAATTAAAAAATATTTAAGTATAAATAATTTATAATATTTAAGTATAAAAATATTTAAGTGTAAATAAATGTATACAACAAGACATTATATTTTTCAAATTAGTCTACAAAGTATTATTAAAATTCATATTAAACATGAATTTGGGAAGCAAGATTTGTTATACATTGTATAAATAATAACTGTAAACAAATTCTTGAGTACAAAAGATCTAGAGAATTCTTCACTGAAAAAAGTTGCTGTCAGGTAAAATACAAATTAATTTTTCAGGGGGTTAGTTTAAAGTGTACTACAGATTAGTTTTGGATTTTGTTGAAGAGTTAAAGTCATTGAGAAATAAATATTTCTCGATGTAATGTTTTACGATAATTTTCTAAACTTTTTTCCTAATAGCATTATGTGCCATTTCTCTTGCATATTAACTACATGTGCATGAATATGTTAAGTAATTTATTTATTTTAAATGGTTGTTTTTATAGCATTCCTTTGGAAATCTTAAGTTACTAAAATTAAATTAAATTTGATTGAAAAAAATTCTTGTTTGGTATTACATGTTTATTGTAGCTGTCATTTTATTTTCTTATTTAAATACATAAATAAAGAAAGTAACACAGTACAAAGTCCGAAATCTGGACATCCAATTTACCGAATAACCTAATATCCATTCAGGCCTCCACATCACTAGCCAATAAATAAATAATAAGATAATAATAAAAGATCCTCCTCTTTACAAAGTCTGAAAAAGAAGAAAATAATAATAAGAGGAAGCAGGTGTCATTTTTCCATGATTAACTAAGATTCCTGCATGTCACTGTTAAACAGCTGCTGGCTAGACAGTTGATGTATGGCCAGTAAAAGTGCATTAATTGACCTTGTATTGATGTTTATCAGAATCGCACTTTTGGAACTTGAGTGGCTATCGGTAGCCAGTGGTATGCATTTTACTGTCTGTTGCAATCTCTGGGTATCCTTAATTCTGCCCGTTACCTCCGTAAATTCTAAAAATTTTGCTGCCCCTAAGTTCTACTGCTCAGTGCTTCTCCTAAACTCTGAATTCAGCTATCTCTAATTTTTGCTGCTTGTTTCTCCCTTAATTTTTTTTTGGGGGGGGGGCACCTAAATTCCGACATCTGTTGTGGCCACACCAGCTCTAGTGCCAACCCTGCGAGAGGTTAGCATTTTTCTGTCAGACCTAAACTATAATGAAGCCTGTATGTTGCCATGTACATTTCCTCATGCTAAATTTAAACTAATAATCTAAAATCCAGAAATTTCTGAAATGTGGAATCGCCAAAGTTCCGACTATTCCAGATCTCATACTTCATACTGTGCAGCTTTCTAAGGAAAGTCATAAAGGCAACTTAAGTATGTATTGGAAAGAAATTATACCTAGAACTTCAAGAAATTTATTTTATATTTCACAACTGTAAAAAAAAGTATACAGTGAACAATATTTTAAGGATAAACGAATTGTTATAAAATTTATTTTGTATTATAATGACCTCTTTTTTTTTTTTTTTTTTTTGGTTGTATATTAATCACGCAGCCAGTTTATAATATGGAAAATTAATTTTAAACATTTATTAGTTCCTTATTTGTCTTCATAATATTTTCTTCATCAAATATCTGTATTATGTTTCTATTTTAAACATTTTATACAGCTTTGAAATTGTAGTGATTATAGTAAAATGAGAGTAACATGGTTCATGTTGAAAATGGATAATTGGTAAAACCATTGTACATTTCAGAATGTATTGTATAATTTGAGTAAAATTTCTAGTTAAAAGCATTTAATGTAGAATTCAAGAAAAAGAATTTGTCATTGAATACATTAACAACCCAGAATTAACCAGTTTGTTTTATTTTTATAATAAAATCATTATACTTTAAATATATATTTTTAAAAGAAGTTAAATTTTTATTGAATTAATTGTTAAAATTGTATTGGAAAGTTACAAAGCTTTCAGTGGTAAACATTTACATGCTTCTATGTCATTTAATATAAACTCTAAGACAAAAAAAAAAAAAAAAAAAAAAAAGAGAGAGAGAGAGAGAAAGAAAGAGATTCAGAAAGAAGGAATTATTTGAATGGGATGAAAAACGGCAGATGTGATGTTTATATACAGAAAACAAATTATTACAATTTCAGAAAAACTGATTGATTTATTCAAGCGAAAGGGCTTTACAAGGTAAGTAAGTGAATAATGCATTGGTCCACCTTTGGCCCTTATGCAAGCAGTTATTTGGCTTGGCATTGATTGATAGACTTGGAAAATGTTCTCCTGCAGGATACTGTGCTAAATTCTGTCCAATTAGCATGTTAGATTAGGAGAAGCCTGAGCTTTTTGAAGGGCCAAAAGCTTTTTCAAGCCTGAGCCCGTAATGCTCCAAACATTCTTAATGGGGAAAGATCCAGCAACCTTGCTGGCCAAGGTAGTATTAGGCAAGCATGATGACAAGCAATAGAAACAATCACTGTATATGGGCAGGCATTATCTTGCTGAAATGTTAGCCCAGAATGTGTGATATGAAGGGCAACAAAACAGGGCATAGAATATCGTTGATGTACCGCTATGTTGTAAGGGTGCTGCAGATGACAACCAAAGAAGTCCTGCTATTAAATGAAATGCCAAGATCATCACTCCTGGTTGTCGGAACATATGGTGAGCAACAAAAAGTTTGGTATCCTACAGCTGTCCGGGCTGTGTCCAGACACATCTTTTCTGATTGAGCCATTTTTGCTGTCAGGTAGCAGCTACCTCCATGATTTATTTCATGTTTTTTATTTATTTTTATTTTGGAGTTTTGGCATCAAAAGTTATTATCATCTGACTTTTTACTCTTTCCTTTAAGGTAGAAGGAGTCATTTGGAAAGTACAACAGCAATGAGGGCTTTCATCACTGAGCAAATATCCCGTCTTTTAAACGACAACTGTGATAATTTTGACAGTGATGTAATTTGTTGCTGAAATGTTCAACTTTCTTCCTGAAAATAAAATGTAATAAAAGTTTTTGTCGTAAATATGGATCACAATCTAGTCTATGACTCATGATTGACATCAGAACAGCTACAGTTCTCATGAATAAATCTCATTCATCTGTCAGTAAATGAGATTTATTCATAATTATGAGCTTTGTAATTTTCTGATGGGACACTGGTCATCAGGGCTCAACTCAGAGTGGGACTCATCACTGAAGACAATTCTTCAGTGACATTCTGGGTCGAGTGTACCCGACACCACTGCAAACAGGCTTATCGATGTATGATGATCAATGTTAATTGGCACAGGGAGCACCATAAGATCAGCCCCCTTTCTCTGAGTTGCCTATAGTTCTTGTGGTCACTGAAGCAACATTTGCATGTAGGATCAATGATAATGATGAATCTGAAACTCTTGAGTGCCACTCTAATAATTGATCAGTCCTGCCATCTCTCTAGGCTGACCAATTCCTTCTTGACACTACGTTCAGCCGTGGTTAAACCATTCCTGCCAACATCATCTAATAGTGGCTTCACTCCTACCCAAATGTCGAGCAATTTGCCAATTATACCAACTGTCTTCTTTGAGTCCATCTATGCATTGTCTCTCAAATACTGACATTTGTGCATAGTGTTTGCATATTTGTATGTGAGGCATAGTTATTGTCTATCTGAGTGCATGACCTAGAATCAAAATTTTTCTTCTTTAATATCCTGCCTCTTGCACAGTTAAAATATGCTGCAGCATCACATGCTCACTCATTGGCCATCAAACTTTAAAATTTTGCATTTTCTGTTGAAGCCTGTATGCATATCAATTTGTGTCCAGTTTGCATTACTCCTTGGTACTCTCTCTCTCTCTTTTTTTTTTTAACCTTAGCATCTTTTTTTTTTTTTTTTTTTTTTTTTTTAACTTTTCCAGCTTTGAATAGACTTGAATTTCTGTACTTCTTAATAGTAGTGCTGAAATTTCCATAAATTGCAAAGAGAAATTTCCATAAGAATATGAAGTACATATATATTATTCCTCATGTGGACTTCTAATATTACTGTTGTGTTTTTTGTGTTTATAAATATTCCTTATTTTATACTTCTAGGTATTTAAAGAAGAGGAAGAAGCAATCAAAGTAGATTTGCATGAAGGATGTGGCAGAACAAAGCTTTTTTGGGTTATGTGTTTAGCAGATTCAAAAACTTTAAAAGCAATGGTTGAATTTAGAGAAGGCACTAGAGGTATATTTCATTTAAAATTAATATTCCACATGATTTCCTTTAATGTCATATTTATTGCTGTTCTGTTTCATCTTGCTTTTGATTTAAATTTACCTGTGTTATGTATCACGTAGAAAATTGTACTTTATTATTATTTTTTTTTTTTTTTAATGCTAGAAAAAATTTTAATTTTCCTTTCCTGGATTAAAAAAATTGTAAGTTACGTTGTTTTGTAAAATAAATTGAAGCTTTTATTATACTGGTGAGGATAGTTTTTGGCTCATGAAACATTATTTTGAACACGAATATTAATGAAACATTATTAATATTCTCTATTGTAACTTTTTACACTGAGTTCAAATGGGCAATCAATGCAGCTAGTCAATTTTTCTGACATCCCTAATTTTCATATAGGTGACATTTTTCAACTGTTACTTTTTTGGAATTTTAGATATTTTTTTAATAATAAATAGTGCACAAAAAACAATATTTTAAATGACAAAATTGCTAAATTCATGCTATAATATGTTGATGTCTCTTTATTAAGATATGAATTAATTTAATATATTAAATTTATTAGTTTGTATTTAAATAATTATATTTTAATTATCAAAATATAAGATAAAATTTCATTTTGAGATAAAATGCAGATGGAAAGTTAAAAAATATGCTGCATTTTTTAATTAAAGTTTTCTGAAAATATGCTTGTAAATGAATTTAAGGTATTGAACTTCACAAATTTGCAAAATTTTTGTTGATGTGTGAAATTTTAAATTTTAAATTTGTGTGATTTATAAACTGGGTATCATTTTTATTTGAGACATAAATTCAGAAATAGAATTTATTTGTAACTGCTAAGAAAATGATTTAGCACATTTTAATAATGTTTTAACTAAATCGTTCATAACTGCCAAGAAAATGACTCATTGCATCAGAGTAATGTTTACATTATGATGGATTTTTTTAAATTATGAGTATGAAATGGCAAAGTGTACTCAAACATAAATCGGTCTTCATGCCTTGCCAAAGAAATTATCCTCATTTCTTCATATGTTTATTACACATACAAAACTACACGCTAAATCACTAAAATTATACTACTAATAACTGAAATATGTACATTAATTGTTACAGGGTAATTTTGTATTCACTAACAATGTCCATAAGCCTTCCTCTTTTTTACTTCTCTCTAGGTCTCCTTAGAAAACTAAACTCTTGGTGCTTCTCAGACTGAGAGCTTATGCCCTCTAGGTATCTTGTTAGTTGATGTCAGTGATACATCACATGGACACTACTGATTGATTCTTTAAAAATTAATTTAAAGGGCTATAATTTTGCACAATGAAAGCAAATTTCATTGTGTGCCTTTTCCTTCTGCAATTAATATGAAGGAAACATGTGAAAGTAGAAATCCTGTTAGAAAGAAATTCATTGTGACAAGTATTTTTGGAACTTAATGCTTGACTAGAAAGGTATTGTACATCCTTGATTAATTAATGTTGCTGAGATTATTGTACCTTCACTTCATATAAATTTAGGACTTTTTAAAAACATAGAACAGTAAGGCAACAGATAGTAATAGACTTGAGTTGCATTAGTTGAAAATATATCTATATATATAATTTTTGTGGGCTCCCAGATAAGAATTTTGTTTGAAGATGGAAAATTTGAAATTGAAAGTAGATTGGAGTTCATTGAAACAGTGGAAAATTCTGTTAAGGTTAGTTATTTCCCTCTTTATGTGTGTGGGGTAGAGGTAATTGAGTTTATTATAATAGCAATTATTTTGAAAGAAAGTATGAAAACAGAGCTTGATGCATTTTTGAAAGCAATATTCTAAGTTTTTATCTTTCTTCTGAAAAACAAGAAGAAGAATTACTATTTTCAGGAAGTCATGAGATCTTGTGACTATGCATGTATCATTTTGTCTTTTTATATTGGTTCTTTTGTTAAGTTTCTTGTTTATTAATATGTAAAATAAACAGCACTTTTGTATGTAAATGGTTTCATAATTTTGTGTACTAAAAATTATTTTATTTATATTTACTATATTAAAAAATTTGGATGGTTTATTTAATATTAAATGTTGTGTTTCTTAATAAGCTTATAGTGTATAATTTATTATATTAATTTATTGATGATAATTTAAAAGCTTTCTAATTTTTCCCCCTCCATATGTTAAATTTCTGGCTAACCAGGCCATATATATGTGGCCTCGAAAATGTTTTGGAAGATTTTAAGATATTATATATACATACATTTTGAAATATATCAAAAAAATTAAGGCAATATATTAAAAGTTCATAAATCCAGGTATAAAGTAGCAGGAGCATTTTGGAATTAAAATCAAGAAAATAACTCTTTTTCATGGCAAATTTGGGAATTTGAGGTTTCTTAGTGAACTTTCGACCAGTTGGAGGGAAATTATTATATTATGTCGATATTAATATACAGTACAAAGTCTTTAACCCAAACTCATCAGGACTTCGGCGATTCCAGATTAGGGTTTTTCCCGGATTATAGATCATCAAAATAAATCTGGTAAGATGGCATGCAGAAATTATAAAATTAAAAATATGAAACCATAATTTATGAAATAAAGAGCAATTATGATCTAAAGGGTATCAAAATTTTAAAAAAAAATTAATATTTATTTGTTTACTTTCTTTCAATTTCTTTCAATGTAAGTTGCCTCGTTTTATGTGCTAATACTTTCTCTTTAATTCTATAAGCAGACATAATTTCTTGTTCAGTTACAAAACTCCGCTGTTCAAGTCCTGTAATTGCTGTGCCGAGAATACCGACTAACTTGTCAATTGAAATTTTTTCGTTTTCACTAACCTCTCTGTCACTTTCTTCATGCCTTTATCCGTTTTTTGCAGTAATTCCACTTTTTGTTTGATGGACATCGAAACATGCTTTCGCTTTGTAGATCCTTTGGCAGCTACAGAATCAGAAACTCTTTTTGACATAATCGAAAGTTCAAGCTTACTTTTTATAAAACTGCTCTAACAGTCTGCAAAATATAATAAGCCGGATTCAATTAGATCCAATTAGAAGATTAAGGAACAATGCAATCTGCAACATTAACTGAAATAGATAATTAGATAATTTTAGCCTAGCTTATACCGTCCCTTATATATTAAATGCGCATGCGTAAATGTATTATGCGCATGCATAAACGTATTATGCGCATGCATAAATGCACCACATGCACAGAAAGTTTGTAGCTTTGAGGTCCGGATTATAGATCATTCCAGATTATGGACATCCGGATTAAAGACTTTGTACTGTATTATGCTTATACCATCCATTATATATTAAATGCGCATGCGTAAATGTATTATGCGCATGCATAAATGCACCACATGCACAGAAAGTTTGTAGCTTTGAGGTCCGGATTATAGATCATTCCGGATTATGGACGTCCGGATTAAAGACTTTGTACTGTATTATGTGTTTAAGATCGATGCAAAGTAATAAAATCCCCCCAACCTTCATCTGTGACACAATGTGTATTTGTCTTAAATATTGAGTTGCATTATAATGAATTAATTTAAATTGTATTTCTGAAGTCCCATTATTTTGAAACTAATTAAAAATATTTATTTCAGGTAAACCAAGCTCTTCAGGTGTTTGTAGATTTTGTGGATCTAGTAGTAGTACTGGTCTTTTATCTATAGGAAATGTATGTAATGAACCAGAATGTCAGGTAATATATATAAAATGGACTTTTGTTAAATGTTTTTGTTGAATAGTACTGTTTCTTTTATAAACTTTAATGCATTACTTTCTGATTTGTTAGGATCATGCAAACAATGCTTGCTCAAAAATGTTACCTTGTGGTCACATGTGTGGAGGAATTTACAATGAAAATCCTTGCCTTCCTTGTTTGCATAGATGTGGAGGAGAAATCTCAAGCCTTAAACAAGATGCTGACGATATGTGCATGATTTGTTTTATTGAAGCTCTTGCCTATGCACCTGCCATACAGGTAAATAAATAAATGAAAATTAAAGTAAAATTCTAATTTTGTATAATGTGTTTAAAAATTATGTTAAGATGATCAATATGAAACTGTAGATTGTCTGAAGATTATGAATGTAATTTTAAACAGCTCTGTCATGCTGTATCCTCTTGAATAGATTTTTAAGCAGCTGAACAGTGTTAAAATAATTTTAAATCTTTTCAAATCAATAAACACTTTTTTAAAAAAAAATGTAATAAAACTGATATTGTAATGCACAATACTTTCTTTACAATAAACTACTCAGAACAAATAGAGATTTCTTCCATGGAACATTTTTCTGCACTTTTTTACTAATGGGGCAACAGTCATTGTGAAATATAAATATTGGTGCAAAATGTAGTTTGCAATAGTAAAATCAGCCCTAATGATACATTCAAAATACATCACTGCTCAAATATATTATTCGACATGAATATTTAAAAGGATGTTACTCAGTTTTTATGAAGTGGGTAATTTTTATTACATCTATAATGATGCAGAGAGAAGGCAAACACAAAAATGCATATCTAGTATCTTGATATAGTATAGGTTCATGCTTTCTAGCTATCTGAAAGAATTGAAGGGCTTGCAGCAAGAATGGCCCAGCTCCATATTTTTACATCTTCGGAAAATTTTAAAAAAAATTTCAAACAAAAAAAATCATTTTTACTCCAGTGCAAAGAATGATTTATTTATTTATTTATTTAAAGATCCATGAACACAATCTATCGATGGGCCCTTCTTCTTGGAAGCACTTCAGTTATACCCTCCCTAGATGTTTTTACATGTAACAGCTATTAAGATTTCAATTGAATCATCCGGAATGGTGATAGAAAAACATTTCCTTGATTCCTGGCACAGTTCTTCAAAACCCACTGAGTGGAAGAACATGCTGTATCCCGATGTGAAAAATCATTTTCCTCCTTAACATCAGTTTTTGTTCTTTCACCAGTTTTCACTACAGGTCCGGCAGTTTAAACAGTAACTCACAGCTCACTGTGTAATTATTCTAATGAATAGTCATATTATGGTTCATCCAAAGTTTCAGTTCATAAAACTTGACAAATATCACAGTTCCTAATACCACAAAATAAAGCAAGTAGCTATAGTGAAAGAAATACAGGATCCTACAAACCAGCTTGAGGCTTGCAATCTTTTCTTCTCTTTCTGTTTTCCAGAATGAAAGAATTTAAAGACAGACTTTCTATCATTTGGCGGTTGCTGAATAAATAGTAAAATTTATCATGATTTCTGCATCAAAAATTCAGCAGCGAGTTTCATCCAAAAATTGTGGCTGGTTCAAAAAATGATGAGTCACAATGTTTGGCATAGTTAGTAATGTAAGATTGCTATCATTATGCTTGTGTGTATTGTGGCTTCTGTTTGTTAGCCAAAAAATACCCAATTTTAGAAGTTGCTGAAATTTTATGGAAATTGCATTTATTACTTTATAAAATAAGTAGTTAAAATGTGTAATTTGTAATAAACAAAGTGAGTTCCATGCCTGATATACGTTTTCTTGGTGTAATTGGTTGCATAGTAGCACAATACTTTGCAAATATTTGTGGTTCTAAATATTATAATTATTTTCTTAGTTATAATTTACCTATTTAATAATGATGTTGATTGTATGTATGTACCCACAATATCACAGATGTGTGTGATTACTAAGTTTTAAAACTGTGATAATATTCTTAATAGGAGATAAAGACTTCCATGTATCATATTATCTTTTATGAATTGAAGTGTCCCTTGGATTATAATAAACTGCAGCTGGAATTCGTTTCGACTTCTTACTACAGTATGACAAGTGACTGATGAGGAGTATTTGGTTGATTATGCCAGTCACAGAAGTGGTGCTCCAGTTCTGAAAGCAGTCAATTAGCTAAAATCTTAAATTTATCAGATAAGCTCTATCATTTGCATTTCAGTATGCCAAAACTAGAGGTTTTGCTTCATGAGGCATTGTCGTGTTGTAACAACGAAAGTCCCACACTATGTAGAGACATAGTTTTTTTTTTATTATTATTATTATTTTTTTTTATTTATTATTATTATTATTATTATTATTATTTTATTAAAGCTAGAGACTTGAAAAATGAGCAATGCCTTCGCTGGGAATCAAACCACGGACCTTTCGATACGCTCCCAGCGTGCAGACCACCACACCACGAAGACATGCCAAGAAGGTGTGGGAAATACCTTATATACTCCCCCTTTTACAAGGCAACTGGGGTTTAGGGGACCCATTCCCCAAATCCTGGGTGTGGAGAATCATCATCCAACACCCTTTTAGTTCGGGTGCCACTGTAGACATTATTTTTTTTTAAACAAGAGACTTAAAAAAGGAGCAACGCCTTCACCAGGAGTCGAACTGTGGACCTCTGGAATATGCATGCCAGCGTGCAGACCACCACACCATGAAGGCATGCCAAGAAGGTGGGTATTTTTCCATTAATTAGTGTGGTAACCACAAGGTATTTTTCCATCAATTAGTGTGATAACCACATTATTGTCCAAAATATTTGAGGGAAGGCCAGGCTTCAAAGTTCAAGGGAACTCAAATTAAGAGGCCAAATTCAGACCAGAAAAAGAAACCGTAAACCATTTTTCTACTTTATCTATATTTTGCTGTAGGCACATTACACATCCATATCATATAATATTGTAATTTGCATTGCAGAAACTTCCTTGAATGATTAGCAATCCATTGATGGTATTTACACTGCCCTAGACAGCATGCAGCATTGGCAGATATGATATGCCTTCTATTTGAAACCAACTAGTATCACCTGCTGGCAAAATCCTATATAAGCTGTATTTACTGTTAGCTATAATTATACGTAATTATTTTTAAATAACAAAAATACCCAATAATATATGATATTTATTTACTTGTTTAAGTGTCTCATGCAGATAGAGAGATGCAGAAGATTGGGAGATAAACTTCTCATCTATTATTTTAGTTTCAGTCTAATAAGTCTGGGATGCAAGGAAATTTGTATTGTCTCTAATATGTTCTTATTTTCTTAACATTTATTTAAAAATAACTAATGAGTACTAAAACAAATCATAATTTATTTTAAAAAAAGCTGAATGAACTTTATAAGCATATACTATATTTATTGTAATTTTGATTTAATTCTAAGTGACAGTTTTATTTTATTTCATTTTCTGATTTAAAATTCAAGTAATCACTTCATAAAGAAAATTTTTTTATTATTATTTATTTATTTATTATGTTAGTTGATTTTATTTTATGTTTTTAGCTTGCTTGTGGCCACGTATTTCACCTCCATTGTTGCCGTGCAGTATTGAGTAAAAAATGGTCTGGACCTCGTATCACATTTCGCTTTTCCTTGTGTCCAATATGCCAGGTAATATAATTTCATTTCTTAATGAAGTGTACTATTTAAATATTAAAAGCTTTTTCTTTTTAATTACAATAAAAAAATATTAAATAAAAGCAGTGAACTTAATGCTGTATTGAACTTTCTTTCTTTCTGTATGTATTTATTTATTTTTAAATATTTTGGCAGGCCCCTATGGAGCATTCAGTTTTAAAAGACTTGCTTGATCCTGCACAGAGTTTATACGAAGATGTTAAACGGAAGGCTTTAATGAGGTTGGAATATGAAGGTCTGCATAAAGCTGAAGCTATTACTACACCAGGTGCCAGATTTTACAATGATCCGGCTGGTTTTGCCATGGATAGATATGCATATTATGTTTGCTACAAATGCAAAAAGGTATCAATCAAAATTTAATTGCAGTGTTTCGTTCAATTTTTACTAGTTATATTTCCATGAAGTGCCTGAGTTTTTATGTTTGTATAAAGCAACTGCTCTAAGACTGCTGCAATAGATATTTAAGTGTCTTTTAATTGACTAATAAACATTTAAAATCTGAAATAATTTTTAATAGAATTTTCTCCTCCAGCATCCTAGCAGGTAAATACTGTTGAATACTAGTAGTAGCAGGTAAAGACCGTTGAATTTTAGTAGTAGTTCATCCCAGGTTGTCTGTTGTAATTAAGACAGTATTTGCATTATTTTAAGTAAAATATCCATATGAAATCCAGTTGGCAATTATTTCTCCCTTCTTCTGTATTTGGAATTTTTTTGCTCTTTTAGAAATTTCAGAAGTGGGGAAATAAATATTTTGCATACCTGTATTACTTGCACAGCATACCTAAGGAAATGACTAAATTTTAAAAGGAAGTGGGAGGGAATATGTAATAACTAATAGAATTGTATTACTAAAACTTTGGAAGTAAAACTGGTATTCAGAATTTTGAAGAGTCAATCCTGTTTATGTATATGATGTAAGCAAATCAGTGTTAAGGTGTTATGAAGATCATTCGACCAAAATGCAATTGGAAAAAAAAATGGCAAAATTTTGTATTCTAACTATTAAAGTATTTATTATTTTTCAAAAAAAACTGAAAAGCTTTTTAAGTAAGTATATAGACATTTTTCTGTTTCAGCAACTGAAATGAAAAGAGTTTGTTGGGACTTCTATAAAATTTTTCAGAAATTAAAAAAAATAATTGCTACTTAGCATTTTATCAGTATGAGGACTTAAAATTCCAGAAATGGTGCTTATTTTAATAATAGCAAAAAATCTATAAATATATTAGTGTTGTTTTAATCTCTTCTATAAAAACAGCCATAAATATTCATAATAGTAGAAAATGCATTTTATAACTTGTAATGTTTACAGGCATATTATGGTGGAGAAGCTAGGTGTGATGCTGAAGCAGGTGCAGGGGATGATTATGATCCTACAGAGCTTGTTTGTGGAGCTTGTTCGGATGTTTCTAGGGCACAGGTAAAATACTTTAAATATATCATTCTGCCAATAAAAGAAAATCTTTTTTAATGTACAAAGTTTCAATAACTGGAAAACAATTTTGTGATATGAAATATGAGTATTGCGTAAAGTATTAATTTTAATTTGTAATATTTTAATTTCATACATAATTTTTAGAATTTTTTAATTATTAAATAAATGGTAAAATATTTAGTTAGCTTTCTTTTTGTGTAAAATATTTATGTGTAAAGTATTATGATTGTCCTTTTTTAAGTCCTTGGTATGTATTGTTTAATAATTAATAGCAAATTCTTTTTTCTCAGATATCATAAAATTGATCACCTTTAGTTGTAGATAATTACATAGTTTTGTTTTAAATCAGATTTAAAAACTTAATATTCCGGTTGCAAATTATCTTTATTATATGCGGCTTAAATGTCTGTTTGTTGCCAATAGTTTATTTGTTGCTTGCATAACTAGCCAATGGGGTGAAGTTGCCATGGCATTCAAATAGTCCATATACACTGATACCATACATGCAGTTATCATTGTTTTAATTTAAATATCATGGTATTTAAGAACATTTAAATATTTTTAATTCATACAGTTGTTGCTTGTTATGCATTTAACTATATTTACATATGAATTACCTAGAAACTTGTAAATGCTGAGAAATTAAAGGAAATGAAACCAACTAACAAGTTGTGTGTAGTATATCTCATCAGGTAGGTTTACCCAGACTCCTATGCTAAATATCCTTTCGCGTAAAAAGTTTAAAATTTTGCCCGATTTTATTCCGACATTATATTTTAAACTGAATTTTCAGCTGAACACTAATTGAGCGTGTCAGGGGGGAACGCGAACATGTGTTTGCATTAGCAATCATTTGTTTTTGAAATGGTTTACAACTGAACGCAAATTGAGCCTGTCGGAAAATGTGAACATTTGTTTGCGTTAGCAATCATCTGTTTATAATCATCAATTTATAATATCTAGAACAGCGGTCATTTCGTATGACCGCCGGGCTTTCTAATATTGAAATAAATAAAATCTTTAGTATATTTGGATATATATTTTTTAAGGGATGAAAAGTGAATGAGCTAAATAGATAAAATCTGAATTAGCAGAATGAGATGACAAAATTTATTAAATTACTAAAATGTGAATTTAAAACGGCATATTCAATTTTCTGTCTTTTCCTTGCTTTAAATAAAGAAATTAAACTATGAAATGTGTAATTTACTAATATTGTATTGACTATACGTTTTCAAATTTATTTTGTAATGTAAAAACTAAATGTATACAAATTATGTTTGCATCAATTTTAGATGTGTCCCAAGCATGGTACAGATTTCCTTGAATACAAATGTAGATACTGCTGTTCTGTTGCTGTATTTTTTTGCTTTGGGACTACTCACTTCTGCAATGCATGTCATGATGATTTTCAGCGAGTGACTAATATTCCTAAAGCAGAACTTCCACATTGTCCTGCAGGTGATACATACAACCTCTGATAATTTCCTTCATTATTTTTTTAATTAAATAAAAGTTTAGATTTTGTTAAAAAAAATTATTGAATTACTGGTATAGATAACAAAATTTTGAAACGTTGTTAAATTGGAATTTTTTTTAAATGATAACAGATGAAAATTTTTGTATCATTCCTTTGAATATATGCCATAATTTTTTGGAGTCATTAATTAAATATTATTAACATTTCACATTGATTAATTAATTTTATCTATCAGTTTTTTAATTATCTTTCTTATGACAGTATTTTTACAGTTTCTTTAAGAAAATGAAAACATAAAAGTGTAACATGTTTTTAACTAATGCTGCATTATTTTGGGGTACAACAAGTATAGTTTTAAGGAATTATCATACTATACTTTTTAGGATTTAATGAAATAAAAAATATATTCATTTATTAAATATTAATATATATGTTTTCTTTTGAATTAATCTGCTTTTTGTCTTTTTCATTTTCTTTGGTCAGTACCAAACTATATTATAGAAACTAAATTTTATAAATAGAATAAAACTTAATTCCACATGAAATATTTTTATACATATATTTTCATAGTTATCTTTTCATTTTATTATTAATAATTCTATACATTATTGTTGTTTTAGGTCCCAAAGCAAAACAGTTAGAAGGTGATGAGTGTCCTCTTCATGTAAAGCATCCTCTGACAGGGGAAGAATTTGCCCTAGGTTGTGGTGTTTGTCGCAATGCTCATACTTTCTAAACATTTGCATCATACTTAGATCTCTTTTATTTATATAACCAATCAGTCACCAGAGTTGATCAGCTGTATATTAAGCTTCTGAGTGCCACTATTCATCCACTATGTATATTATGAATTTTGTATATAAAATGTAAAATATAGTTATATTGAATCCGGCCTTCCCTGCACACATCTCATTCATATCTGTCTTGCTTTGTTCTTCCATAAATTGCATGAAACTTTCTGACATTTGAAATGGGAACATGGGAACTCAAATGATAGTTTTGCATCTTAATTTTGGCACTACTTTGAAATATGAAGGTCACATTTAGAGTAATTTAATGTTTGTGATGGAAGTGAAGAAACGTGGCATTTATTGTGCAAAACACAAAACGAGATACCAAATATTATTAGAACTGTAAAATATGATATCCAGAATTAAAATTTTTATAATTACCTCATACATGTTAATATCTACATTTATGACTATTGTGAATAAAAATAGTTTTAAAAAAATATTTATCTTTCAGTTCTAGTTAAAACTTTGCATCTTGCATGACTTTATTTTATTAACTGAGGAGTTTCAAATGAAATAAATTCCTTAGTGTATGAATTATTTATGACATTTATTTTTAAAAGCAATGTTCTTTAAATATGTATGATTTCATATATTTAGCATAAAATTAGATAAGATATTTTATAAAAAAAAAAACGGGTATTAAATAAATAAAGATCAGAACTGATGAAAGAAAAGTGTTTATACCTACTATTTAAATATTTGATATTTTTACATGAATTTTTGGGGGGAGATAAATGAGATATTTTTCCTATAATAATATTTATTTGACTTTATATTAATCCAGCAAGTCGTATAATTATAATAAACCTTTTTATGAAATCACAGATATCTGAAAACTAATCAAATAGTTGTCATTGTAAATCTCAAAATAACTATTTGCTCTCAAGATTGTTTTCCCAAAATTTAATAAAAAATATTTGCTAATAAATACATAATGATAAAATAATCATTGAAGTATTAATTATAGATTAATTCAATAATTTTGCACTTAAATTGAAGAAGTAAATGAAAACTTTTGTCAGTTTTATTAAATAAATAAAAAAATGTTAAAAATTGCTATTTACTACACATACATTCATATAGTATATATGTGTGTTATGTTCTCTTTCTTTAATGTAAAAATGTTCAGTAGCATTATGCCTGTTCTTGTTAACATGAGCAATTTTTTTTTTATATATATATTCTATTACACTGACATGTGTAATAAGTTTTCGTATCACTTTTGTTAAATTTAAATAGTATATGTTTCTTTCATGTAAGATTCAAATGTCTTTTCAAATTAGAGAAGTTATTTGAATTGAAAATGTTAGTTAAATTTTTGCACTTCATAAAATGCAATTTGTGAAACATACAGTGCAGAAAATATTCAAACAAACAAGATTTTAGAAAGGAAGTTGCTATAACTTGTTTTATTCTATTAAAAGATGTGGGTGTCATGTTTATTTATGTAAATATTTTTCAATTATGGTTATTTGTAAAATATTATAAATTGTATTTATGCAAACTTTTAGAATTTTTGTATTACATTTAAAAGTAATTTAAGTCATTTTCATTAATGTCATGAACTAATATAAGATATTAGTCCATGAACAAAGTTATGTATTTCTTCAGCATTTTGTAGTAATTATGAATAATTTAAATCTTATTTGATGAATATGTTGTGTTCTATTTAATATGCATACAATGAAGAAATTCCAGTTCCATATTTGCTGCCAAGCAAAGCACAATGTACCTGCAAAGTAGGCATGTTGTATCTTCTTTTAACTGTGATATTAAGTTTTAAGATGCTGAGTATTGGTAGTAAATTATGATTTTACACATGAAATAGCAGTACCATACAATGAAGTTTATAAAATGCCAAACTTTTTTTATTTGTGTACCTTATTCTTTCTGATATTTGTATGATTTTAGAGTAAGGGAAAATTTGTAATGTGATTGTGTGTATGCAGTGCGACTGTGTGAGTTTTCATTATTTATGTCTCTTTCATTGATAAATTTTTGATGAAGGCTGTCATTGATAGCTAATATTTTCTTGTAATAAATCTCACAATATAGAAATGTATGTTTTTTTAATACTTTATGCAGGATTTTTGCAATTTTTAGTGTCACAACACTTAAGAAATTGTATATAATCTTGAATATAAACATAAAGATATTGTTCATAAAAAAACATAAAGGAATTGAATATAATCTTGAAACTACTACTTAAACAATTAAAATATGACTTATATACTATTATATATTGGGTATGAGAGAATACATTCAGAAACTGAAATTTTTTTTAATGGATAATATATTTTGAATTAATTTCAAGGTTTATCTATATCTATAGAAAAACATGCCGTATAATAACTTTTCAAAGACAGCATCTGTTAATAAGTCTGTTTTCATGAAAAGAGCTCAATGCATGTAATCAGAAACAACCCAGCTTTTCACAGATTGATAATCATGATGGATTCCTTTAACGTACCAGTGTTATGAATTAATACTTTAGGATTAATTCTCTTATAATTCTAATTTTTACAAAATCGTACTGTATATGAGTAATTAAATTATTTTTTAAACCATGCCCTGGAAGTGAATTTCTTCTACTTACCAGTGGTGTGAATTAAAGATTGATTGCAATTTTAATTCTCTTACATTATTTTCATAAAATTATAATGTGTCTGAGTAATTGAATTGTTGCTTTTGAAGCTATTTTCAACAAATGCATGATATTTATCTGCTATTAATTAGTGGAAACTAATAAACTTTGAATGGTTTCAGACACAGCCATAATGATGAATTTGCAGTTTTACTACTGATACAATGTTATCAGTTTTCTCAAAATTATGCTACATTTGTGTAAATTTATATCAGAAGAGAAGGTTAAAATTCAGTGAATTTGTTTAGTTAGCAGTACACTGACAGACTTTGATTGCAGACTTAAAAATAACTTTTTATTTTAATATTAAAAATGTAATAAATTTTGTCTCTTGTTTTAGAGAGTATTAAATCCTTTCAGATGCAGATTGATATAAATTTAATTATAAATACATTATGCAGAATTCATTTTAATGAATAACACCAAACTAAAATCTGGGTTAAAGTATAATTTTACTTATAACATTGAATTGTTAATATTTAATTGCCTCATAACATTGAATTACATTCATATGTGAAATCTAAGATAAAAGAGTGATACTGTTACAGTGATTGAAGATAAATGAGTGATACTTTTAGTGATGTTTATAGGCAAAGATATAGTGTACTCATTCTTGTGTTCCAGAAAACAGTGATGTCTTAAGAAACATATGAAATCAGGGTTGCCACGCTACCTGGAGAACCGGGAAAAGTCAGGGAATTCGAAAATTGACCAAAATATTCAGGGAAAAGTCAGGGAATTTAAGTATTTTTGTTATTTCCTTTAAGTCAGGGAAGTTCATACAACGATGCCGCCAAAAAAAGCGATTTTTGCGCCGACGTCGGAAGAGATAACATTTTTGGCGAATTATGTATCACGTGAGTGTCATTCGGGTAGCTGGCATAGAGCCAATTTTCGCAGCTCCAATCTGATTGTCTTTTAGAAAGGCAAAGCAACTTTCCCGCAACTTTTGGTTTCCAGTATTCTCGAGAATCGCATGTGCAGTACATGAACTAAAGAAAGTACCTGTTCTCGTATAAAACAAAATGGGTTTAATCCTAGTATACGGTACCATGGAGGTTAGAATCAAAGAATATGTATTGTAAAGAAGGAAAACTTCTCTGCAACAGGCGTGGCTCCGTTCCATCATAGAGGGAAACAGCTGTGCATGTCTGATATATCTGTCGCCGAAGATCGAAACCGGTGTCGAAGTTCGAAGGTCACGTTATCAAGAGTTCATAAAATGAATATCGTTTAAAATTTCTTGAACGACTTGCGCTAAAAAGACGTGCCACGCACGTCGAGATGCTTTTGTCTCAAACCGTGAGCGACGTGAACACCACGTCGATAAGCATTTATCGCAAAAATGAAAATAACGTGGTGCACACGTCGCCTAACAACGAGATTGTTTATTTCTCGAGTTACAGCTCTGGATTGCACTCGCAGATGCGGAGCGGCGTAAATGAGACACTTTACCGCTTGTTATATTGTAGCGCACGGCACCGCAACCGTGAAGTTTAGTCTTAGCGCAAGTGGTTAAATAAACTCTAAAGGAAAAGAAAATATTTTTTGGCGCAAGTAAATTAATTCATGGATTAGTTATTTTCAGGGGGAAAAAAAACTACGAAAATCCGTTTTTAAAATTATTGCGAAAAATCCACGCAATAATTTTAAAAACGGATTTTCGTAGTTTTCTTTTTGTCAAAGAGCGTTTCTTCTTAACACGTGTTTCTCAATTTCCTGTACACATCGCGAAGAGAGAAATTCTGGCCGCCAGGTTCCGTCGCCAAATCCCTTGACAAATTTTCCCTCCGCATTCTAACGGCGTAATAGCATTTTACTTGTATGGAACCTTTTCTTCTTTACATAGACGTTCTTTGTTTAGAATAATAATGGGATTTGGCGACATCATGATGCGCAGTAAACGGGTCATTTTCAAGGAGGTTAGAATAACCTCCTTGGTCATTTTGGTCTTGGCGACAATTTCAAAATCGTGCCAAAGCCTTACCGTATACTAGAAATTTACCGCAAAATCTTTTTAAACCTTTTTTTTTTTTTTTTTTTTTTAATAAATACCTTGCCATTTTGCAGTAAAATAAAAAAATAGTAATCAGTCATCTAGGCTAGCCATGTAATATAACTATATTCGCTAAAATATCGTTGATTATTCTAATTCAATTTTTAAGTAATTATTTTTATGTTATTCATATAATTTAATGTTGCTTCTTCCCTCTAAATTTATTTATTATTAGTAAATAATATTTCCAAATTTCAGGAAATTTTCTCTGGCATAATCCTAAAATTAATTATAGTAGTATGATGACATACCATCACGAAATTTAATGCACATATTTTTTCCTTATGTATGCTGCAAAATAAATATAAAATACCTCAATTTATTAAAATAGATTTCTTTCTTTCGTTTAGCTTCAGAACGTCTGCAAAAAAAGCCTTATTTTATTCCAGATTGGGAAGATTCTAATCCCAATCTTCAGTGGAGAAAACAACAACTATTATAATTATATTTGTGTTTTCAAGTGTTAAGGTGCCTTTTAAGAACATACCTCACGCAAATTAAATTTACCTAAAATCTAACCTAACTATTTAGCATTGCGTTGTGATTTATAAGGACCGGATTAGCCTCGTGTTGAACTGGTGATGATCATGAGTAATAATTAAATAAAACATACATTTGTTATCCAATGTATATATCTTAAATTTTATTAAGTTTCTTAAGTGGAAAACTAAACAAAATTATCAAACAAAGTATACCAAGAATAATTAAGAATAAATGTCCTCTGGGATTTATTGAATAATTAAGTGAATTTGCTACACAATACAAGTAATACCATAATTAATTTACCTCTTAGCACAGCCAACGTACATTACGCGGATAGACTGGAATTTTCTT